GGGGCGAGAGGGAGCGCGCCCGGCCCTCGGCGGGCCCCGGCGGCGGAGCTCTGCCCCGGGACCGCGCTGTCTCTGCCGGCGAGCGTTCGGCGGCCGCCGGTGCGGAGTGGCCACACACGCCCCGTCCCCGCCGGCGGGACCGCGCCTGGGAGCGGGCGACCGCCGCCGGTGCGGATCGGCCCCGCTGGCCACCTTCCACTGAAGGGCAGCGCCCAGCAGAGATGGGATGCGAACCTCGGGAGCAGTTCGTTCCGGGGGCGGGGAGCCCCGGGGGGTGCCCGGCAGCAGCAGGAGGGCAGCTCCTCGGCAAAGGCTGCGCTGCCCTCTCTGGAGCACCCAGGCAGCTGCCCCGAGGGCCTTCCTGCAGAGAGGTGCCAGTGGTGGCAGAAATTGGCTTTTACTCAAAGACCCTGCCCTTCAAGCTGTGTAAATTCTGCAAAGCCTGGAGATGACCAGATGAAACAAAACACAGATCTCTACCAGAAGCACACTAATCACCAGCTGGTCAAAGTAGGTTCATGTGATTCTGTAGCACAGTAAAAGTATTAATTACTAATAGATTTTTAAAATTACTCTCTAGCTGAACCGGTTGTGAGGAAGGAACTCCACAACATGCCTGATGAGTCCGTATTCATCTACTGCCTAGTAGGAGACAGAGCCTAGTGAGTAACTCAGATTACCTTTGCTACTCGTGGACTGGAGTTTAATAATTGGAATAGTTAACTGAGCTGTCCTTCTATGCAAGGAATGAAGCATTTTTTTGAGTTTTGAGGTCTACACCATCCCCAGTGTGAACTATCTGCATGCTGGTTCTGGGAGGTTGGTTAGGGAGGCCAGAGGCAAAGACCTTTGAATCATCTTTTGGAAGGAATTTTAACAGGTTCACTTCAAACCACACCTCTACAAGCTGTGCTTAACCCCTTCTTCCTCAACAGCTGGAAAGATCCCAACAACGAGTTCAGGAAGAATCTGAAACTAACAGGAGTGCCTACACTACTGAAATACGGAACGGTGAGTGACTTACTGTATGCTCTGGACCTACAGGCGTTCAGATAGGAAACTGGCAGCAGCTGATAGCTGTAAATGCAGGTTTTCTGATACCCTCTTGTTTAAAAAGAGCAGATAATTAGGAATAGCATCTCTGATCTCACCCACACACTCTTCCTGGCCCAAACAGCTCCTCAAGAGAAAACCACTCCGCTTTCTGTACAATGTTGTCTATAACAAATATATATTAAAGCAAATATGTACACTTAGCATGTAGTGGTTTGGGATTCCTAGCAATATATTGTTAGCTTCCTGACTTGCAGCTCCTCAAATTTTAATGGGTCCAAATGCTGAATTATGGGAGTGAAACAAGGTTATGTGCAGTAAAGCTCAAGTTTTAACTTGTGCATATTATTTAAATTAGCAGTTACTGTCTTAGAAGTGCCTCTTCCAAAGCTAGGAACCCCTCAGGCATTTTTCAGTTATTCGTGCCTTGCTTGCTCCACCCCAACCTTCCCCGGGAAAACAACTGCAGGAATATGGTGAATGTTAGTATGTACAAATGGCTCTAAGCTATAACAGGTTTTTTTTGCCCCTAAAACATCTTAACTTTTCTTTCAGCCTCAGAAGTTGGTTGAAGAAGAATGTTTTAAAGCAGACCTTGTGCGCATGTTGTTTACTGAAGACTGAATCCTCCAGTAGTCAACCATTTACAGAGACGTTAATCTCAAGTTATTCCCAGTGTCCTGTCAAAGAATCCTTAACCTGTTCCAGAACTTTCATGGTTAATTACTTCAGACCAGTCAAGATAAACATCATTAGTGGAAGGTTTGGACCTAGAGTTTAAAGTCCTGCAACAAAAGTCTGTATCTTTCCTCTCGTGTTCAAATAAACTTGAGTTTACAAACGGTCTCTTTTCAAAGGAGCTGAGCTCATTTTATAAACTGAGAGCAGCCTATAATTACTATGGAGGAAGACTTAACAACTAAGTTACACCTTTAATTGGGGGGCAGAAGGGTGGGAAAAACTGAAAAATCTGCTTATTCTTCCTAAATCTGACTTTACATAGCTACTGAAGCTGTTTTCAGTGCCAGAGATATTTAATGGCTTATCTGTGCAGTGTGAGTATAAGCTGGAGGCTGACACTCCTGGTGTCACCAATGACATTAAGGGCTAGCAGTTGCAGTACCTACTCCTAGAAGGATATGAATTATAACATAAATGTAGCATGAATATAAAAAATACGAAAATTAAATCCCTAGCAGTTGCCAAGATCTGTGTTCTTACAATAAAAACTATAGAGGAATAAATGGCAAATGCTTCTCCAATACTGCAAGCATTTACCTGTTTTTGAAACACAAATTGTTTTCACTACATGTATTACAGAGAAGCTTAAGAGCAGCCACTATTTCACTGGCAGAAAACCAAGATTAAAGTAAGCTCTGCAAAGGTTATTACTATTTATCTGTGCTCCATTCCTGCAGTCCTTGTCTTGTCACACTTTGATTTCTATCTCTAAAATATGCTGTGAGACCCCAGCAATGACTACCAGGTAAACAAATGACAAGTAATAGCTCAGCTTGGTTTCAGGGCAAAAATCCCCAATTTAGATTTTTTGCACAATATCATCACTTGAACTTTGCTCATCCTGCAGCCATGCTTTAAGACGCATCATTATTCTCCAGGGAAAATGCCTTCTAAGAAGAGGCTTCTGAGTTACGCTTTGTGTTAGATACTTGAATTTCAGTGCCCTCAAAACTATGTTTTGTTTTCAAAATCAAGAGGAATCAATAACCACGGTAAGTAATTGTCCACGCTTGCCCATGCTACGAAATAAATTGTGGAAGTAGGTGTTTATCAGTCTTGTATCTTTAAAAACTTTGACAAAAGAAAAAAAACAGTCACTCGATAAATCTAATGTACACACCCCCAGCACCAAACCTACAGAAGGGTTCCTTCTTATGTAAATACTTCAGCGGACACAAAGTGCACCTTATCATCACCCTTCCAAGGGTTTTCATTTTACAGAGGTGTTGTTTTGCTGCTGCTGTTCCGCAAGTGCTTGCTGGAGGCGCATTCTTTTCCGTGAATAGTGCTGCCAGTGAAGAATCTGTTGCTCATCGATAAATTTTGCACACTGAGCATTTACCAATTCTTTGCGGAAATGTTCGTATTGGAGCAGCTCTAACATATGCAAACATTGAGGATACCTGGATGGAAAATAAACATAATTTAATACAAGTTTTACAAGGTCCTCTAAAACAAGAGTCTCCAGTAATTCTACGGTTCGTTATTTTAGTTTTATCATGTATAAGCTTTACTCAAGTATCGAACCACTTAAGACTCTATGTATTCCACACACTGTAACTTAACTTCAGGCTAGGAAGCAAGGAGTCCTATAACAGTTAATAAATCGATATACATGATACATGCTTGTTTAGAGGACATTTTCTAGTGGCTAGATTTTACTAAAATACATAAGAACTACCATGTTTGTTTACAAATGGTAAAGTGCAGATACAGGCTGAAAATGGAAGATTCCATGCACTACTCATGAAAGACAAGTTTTATAATTTTGTCTATTCCTATATCTGGACTGATAGAAACAGGAAAATTTATGTTGCATTTAAACACAGTGAGGAGGACAAAAAGTTACAGGCAGGAATCAAAAAAATAACAGAAGGCAAACATCAAATCATTAACATGCAGAAACCCAAGTGATTTTAACACTTACTTTAGGTATTTTGCATATTCAGGTTCTTTCCAATAAAGTAAATATTTAAGATAATTTACAAAAGCTTTGTCTTTGAAGTAGCCTCTTTGTGCAAGAACTGAAATAAAATGACAAATAAGGAATTGTCAGTTACAGATGCACGAAAAAAAAATCTGCCAAACTTGAAGAATACATATTCACAAAACTATGAAGAAGTATTTTAGTCAAAATACAAATTACAAAATACAAATTACAATCAAATTTTGACAATTCAAAATGAAAAAAAAAAGCACAGGGAAATATGTATTTTATGTCACCATACTAGGCATAATAAACTAGTCTTATCCCTGTTACAGTAGGTATCTTTCATACAACAGCAAGGAAGATAAGAGCTTTTTAAGAGGAAAATTTGAGTGTAGCATCAAAATCGGCAAGGAATTCAAGGGAATTCAGTATAGAATCTGAAACTATTATTAAAATTAGTAAAATTCAGTTTTCAGATAAAGGAATACTGTTAACTTGACATTACTTTCTAACCACAGACTTGAACTTCTTTTTTCTTCCACCAGACAGGTGCCTTTCTTTTTTCATTTCAACCGATAAAATATTTTGCATTTTAAAAGCCCCACCTGTTAGAAATCTAGAAAAATTAAACTATTTACAGACTAGCTTTATGCTGTAAAAGACCCATTCCCTTTTCTTTGTTTAGCCTTCTCTCTCCCTGTTTAACATCACCAGTAATAATAAATACCATTAAACTGTATTCACTCCTCAGGATCCTAATATTTAAGTACTCACAGTTGAGGTAATTTGGATTTGCCAGACATTGAACAAACTCCAACTCCAGCTGGAACCGAAGTCGATTTCCTGTATCATCTAAGGCATGAAAAAAACAGTAAGAATTGGACCCACACAAAAGATTTGAAATTAATTTTCTCAGTTTGAGCCATACAAAGAGAGATAATGTGTTTAACCATGAGAAAAAGCAGTAAAACCCCATAGTAAATATGGATTCATTTACCAAAGCCTTCATTACGTGAATCAGTGTTGGGCCTGCATTAATAAACACAGTGTTTTGGGGTTTTTTAGCACCCAAGCAAGTGCAAAGCAGAGAGGAATGTCCACTAACACTTTTTTTAGAGAGTGAAAGAAAAAGGAAGAGCAAGAAGCCTGGCATATTTGTACAGGAAAAATTAAGGAGGTAAGAACAGGGAACCGCCAACAGCCCACTGAAATCCTAGTTGTATGTATTTTTAAAGTAGTGCAAGGCATTTTTTTTTTTTTTCAGCAAGGTATGTTGATATAATACACAAGTGAGAATACAGCATTGCTCCCATAGTACAGTGTACACCAATCACCAGGGATACGCTGTTGGGGCTGATACAGGATCCAGTGCCGTTTGACATTTGACATGACAAGAGTGCTCACCCCGATTGTTTGTAGATTACACAGAACTAGAGGAGTGGCTCTCACAGGAGAATTGCACAGCCATTCAGAGGGACCTCGGCAGGCTGGAGGAACAGGCCAACAGGAATCGCGTGAAATTCAACAAAGTGAAATGCAAAGTCCTGCACCCAGTGAAACAGCACAGGCTGAGGCAACCTTCTGGAAAGCAGCTTTGCAGACAAGGACCTGGGGTGCTGGTGGGCAGGTTATGACCTGCAATGGGCTGCTGCAGCAAAGCCGCTCGCAGCACCCTGGGCCACATTGGGAAGAGCATCACCAGCAGGAAAAGGGGGGTGACCCTTCTCTGCTCAGCACTGGTGGGACCTCTTCTGCTAGGCTGCACCCAGCTGTGGGCTCCCGGGGACAAAACAGGCATGGACATACAGGAGCGAGTCCAGCAGAGACAGAAAGATAATAAAGGGACTGGAGCTTCTGACAGATGAAGAGAGGCTGAGAGAGCTGGGACTGGGCAGCTTTGAGAACAAAAGCCTAGCGGATGATCTTATCAACGTGTATAAACATGAGACGTGCGGGAATGACAACAGAAACAAAGTGGTGCCCAGAAAGAAGACAAAAGGCAACAGGCAGACTGAAATAAGGGAAATTCCTTTTAAACATGAATTTGGGGTGTTGTTTTTTTATTTTTTTCTGGGGGGGGTGGGGGGTGGTTGTTTATTTGTTTGTGGAGCAGTCACAACCCACGTGGGCAGAAGCTGGGTGCTCTGTCCCCGGAGCTTCCAGTGCCCAGTGCGGCATCGACAGACACTAAGGCCAGACAGAAGGCTGCTGAAAGGGATGAATCTAAACAAGCCTGCCTTTTTCTAGAGAGCTACCAGGCACAGCCAGTAGCCCAGGGCTCGCGGAGGGCTGTGAGAACCAGCGCTGTCCTCAGGAACATAGACGAAGGACAGACTGGGATTGAGGGAAGGCCTTGTGCTTTCTGGCTCGCAGCCCCGACTCCTGACTCAAGGGCAAACGTCAAAAATGAAGCCGGGGTCCCGTACGCAGCACCAGCTACTGAGGAGTTTCGGGAAAGCGGGGTTTAGTTCTACAACCACGGCTGCGCCCTCGGGTGCCCTCCCGCCGCCTCCCGCCCACCGCCGCGGGGAGAGGAGGACCGCCGGTCCCTCACGGAGCAGAAGGCTCCGGGGCTGGCCTGAGCCGGGCGGACAGGCAGCAGGCCCCTGCCCCGATCCCCCTTCTCCGGGGTCGCGGGCTCAGAACCCGCCCAAGACCGCGCCGGGCCTCCGAGCGCCCGGGAGGCCGCGGAAACCACCACCCCTCACCTGTCTCCATGGCGGCCGCTTGGCTGGCCCGCTCACCCCGGCACAAGATGGCGGCGGGGGCGGCCGCAAGCCCGGCGGAAGTCGCGCTGCGCACGCTGGCAAGGCGGCGGCGGTTGCCTGGCAACGGGCCGGGCCGCTGTGTGGAAGGCCGCAGCGGGGGCGTCGGGCCTGCCCGTCGGAGGCAGGTGGGGGCCAGGAGAGCAGCCGGCCCTGGTCCCCACGACGCGGTGGCCGCCCGGGAGCCGCCCCGGAGCCGCTCGCTCCGGGAGCGGGGTGCAGGAGCGATGTCTCCGGTGCCGTTTCCCAGGGTAAAGAGCGTTCCTGGTGGTAATTCTCATTCATCGCTCTCAAACGTTCGATGGCAGGATTCCTCATCTCCCGATCGTATTTAGATACCGATATAAAATCCCTTGGACAAATGCTGATAATTCTAAATTTTAAGTTTCAAAAAAAATTAGTTCCATCAGTTTCAGGAGGGAAACGCACGCTGCCCAGAGGGACTGTTTTCCTCAAAACTGCTACACAGAAACACCTGGATGAGACCCTAATTCCTGCCCCGTAACAGGGATCATCCATTTACCAGGGTAGGTAAGGCAGTACCCACTGGTTTTAAGGTGGCAGGGCATGCAATACCAGTGGTTGGAAAGAATATTCAAATATTTTAATATTCAAATCAGAACTCAGACTGAATATAGTAAAGGAAAAATCCTCCCATTTCAAGTTACTCTGCTGTCCCATGCTGTGCTGCAGCTCACCTTGACCGTTGAAGTGGCAGAAATCAAAGTACTCAGAAATCAAAGTACAAACTGCAGTGTGTTTTTTTTAACTGACCAGAGTTCAATTTTACATCAGTCAGTGCACTCTGAAAACTTTGCAAGCAAAACAAATGAACCTCTGAAAACTTTGCTTACCACCTTTATGTACCAGTCTCCAACACTCTGCAAGCTTTCACCATCTGGAAAAAAAAAAAAATCACGGGCAGGGAACAGCAAACACGCCTTAGCAAAGCGCCTGAGAACCCACTGAATACATACCTACAGCAAACAGATGGAAATCTGGGTTGCTTTGTGAATTTGCTAACCAGAAGAGAGAGAAAAAAAAAACAAAAAAAAAAAAAGGGGGGGGGGGGAAGAAGAAAAAAGTCACATGGACAGTGCAATCCAGTGTAGGCATAAAGGTAACATCCTGACGACTACATTTTATAGGCTTGTTTCCTAACCATAAAATAATATTCCTTCCAACAGTAATATGGCTGGAAAGGTTAGAATTTTGTCAGCGTTATCTGAGTATTACAAATCAGCCATGTGACCTCTCCTCTTGCAGATGAGCAGGGAGGACCTTTTAAGAGACCATTTCTCATGGCTTTGTACTGCCCCAAAGCACTTCAGCAACTCAATTTGTACAGGACATCAGTAGATTAAATGCAACTGATCTTCCAGATGTGAGGGACTTGTTATCAAATGAGTGCAGAATTCTCTTCCAGATGTGGAATCAGTTTGGACCAAGACATTGAAAAGTTGGTTGGAAGAAAAGCCCTAAGAACTACTCATTTCAGTAAATAATTTCACACTTATGATAGCATGATAGCTTATGATCATGCTCTGTACCTAAAAAAAAAAAACCAAGCAGAAATTACTATTTGACATTTTGAGGTTACTCAAAAGAGGCGACTGCTTTTCTAACTGTACAAAACATTTTAAGTTAGAATTCAATACAAATGATTTTAAAAATCACCTTATTAGTATTGGGATGCACCAACAGAATTGAAAATAAACTAAGTAAATGCATGAACAGCAGAACTTATGAAATCTGATTTTCTGTGGAGGTTTTATAACGCCTGAAGCGCTGACTGAGCTCATGCAGAGCCCCCTCAGCAGGACAGTGGGTTTGTCTCCAGACAGTTTCACCCGGGGAGCAGCCTGCCCTGAATCCCCACTCAACATCTCAAGGCTGGCATTTCCCATTCCACTCACCTGCTGCTGCTGCTGCTGCTGCTCTTCTGGGAGGCAGCAACATGGCTCAAAGTGCTCATTTTTACTGTGGTTTAGCTGTTGCTGTCATTAGTGAGTCCTCAGCCCTCCATGTTTCTCAGGAAGGCCTCATGCTCTGGATCTGAACAATGCTCCAGCATCAGAGTTAGTGACGTACAATGTGAGTAAACAATCTTTTGAAGAAAATGCATGTTGGAATAATGATTTGTTCTGTCACATAAGGGGCTTTCACCATATGGACAATTCACTTCCAATTTCATTAGAAAGTAACTTCAGGGTCAATGTTCTAGTAATGATTTTTTTCTCCCAGATAGATAGATAAATGCTTGAGCTGGGAAGGATAAAAAGGTGATCTTGTATTTGCAGAATATTCTTTTTCACTTTGTGCTAGATAAGCCATTGTTGATCACTTCCAGAGCAAAGGGAAATGGAAAGGAGAGACTCAACCTTAAAATACTCAACTATGTTTTGATTTCTTTTTCTTTCTGCATATTCAACAGAGATTTGAGCTTGGACTTTGTTTTGTTTTTCATAGTAACTTTACAATAGGCCAAGTCGATTTCAGTCAACCTCTGCACTCAGTTCTTCATTCATTAAAAAAAAAAAAAAACAAAAAAAACAAAATTGTATCTGGGTGAAACCAGTTAATAAACAAACACCCCAAGGGTGCAGACAGAACCGTGCTGTTGCATCAGCACCTGGAGAGGAGCCTGGCTTCTCAGCCTGTAAATTTATTCCAGAAGGTGCATTTCTGCCTTGTGTTACAAACTACATTTTCAGAACTTGGCTGAAACAAAAACTGCAAAGTGTAGCACTGCCAAGCCAGCTTAGGTTCACTGCTGCAGCAATTGTGTGATTAGGCACTTGTGCAACAGTCACTGTATGCAGACTTACCTGAAACCTGACTGACTTTTTTCCTAACTTTTCTTTTTTAAACGTTTTTTTTTAAAACTGATTTGCTATTTTCATTTGTTGAACTACTTTCAGCATTTTAGATAGCAATTTTCTATAATACTATCTTTTCATATGCAGTATGATTTTTTTTCCTGGGAATTGCATTACAAAAACCCTCTAAAAAGGATTTATGCATAGTTTTTCTTAATAAAATAGGGTTGCTTTTTTTAGACAAGGTTTTAGTGGTTGTGGAACACTACCATTACTATATCAAAACATAACAAGTCACTCCCCAGTAAACACAGACTTTGGGCTAAAAGCAGAGATCAAACAGACCCCCGGGTCTGCATTGCTATTCTGGAATGTGATTTCTCTCCCAAGACTGACTTCAGAGCAGAGAATCCTAAAAAAAGCTTGGTCACAGGAAAAAAATTACTATGTAAGTTTGCCAGAGCTAAGTCAAACATCTCAATCCTTGGCCATCAAAACTAGGAACAAAATTGAAAGTCAGGATCATAGTATAATAACTAAGAACATTCTCTAGGAAAACTTGGAATTATTTTTGCTTTTAAAATATTAGTTGAGTCAAACTCTCAGGGTGTAAAGTGTTAACATATATGACTGTGAACCAGGAATTCTCCATATTGTTGCCAAATCAGGACCAGTTGCCTCAGTTTCTGCTTTTATAGGGACTAGACCGCCATCGCTGCTGCTGCTGCCTGTCTAAAAACTGCTTCAGATTTTTACAGAGGATTTATATATAAAACACATATATTATCTAGCGTTGTTAGATCTCGAAGGCAAACACTGGGGAAAGGAGATGTTGCAAAGGGTTTATCTGTGATGCCATAATATAGTGCATTTACACCAGGAAGAAAAGGAGATCCAGCAAGGCTTCATGACTGAAAACCCATCAAGTAGAACCGTATTTTATACCCAATGCAAGGAACTCAAGACATCCCCTCATATTCATATATTTTCCCATCTGCTTTGGAACAGAGTGCCAACTTGTATTGACCCAGATAATGACATCTTAAAGGATTTTACCCATAGAACACAAGACAGAATTCTGCAGACTGGAGAGTATCCTGCTTCAAATATGGTTAAATAACAGAGAACAGAGTATGCATTATGTTATTTTTATAACAAGCCAGTACAAAGTCTGCAATTTTTTTACTCCAATGTTATAATTGTAATTCAATAGAAACAAGATCATAGTTATCAGTGACTGAAACAATTGTCAGAACATATTTAATTAAAGGCTCAACTGTTCGTTGAGTTCTATTTTTTGAGGTCAAGAAACTGGCAGGTAATGTGCATTTCATAAGCCAGTCTATGAGAGTCACGGGAGAACAATCTTCATCTGAAGACTGTTAAACACCATCCAATGGAGCTGTAAATTTTGTGAAATGGCCTAAAAAGACTTAAAAGACTGTGGTTTATGGAATGGAGGTTATATATGCTGCAATGTGTATTTATGTGACCATGGTTCTCCTCTACCTTCAGACAACTGTTAGAAAGCAAAGATAAATTCAAGATTAATTGTCAAGTCTCAGAAAGCATTTTATGTTTTTCTTTAATAAATTGGTTAAAAATACATCAGTCTTCTCTTCTTAGGACATCTGGAAGCAGATGCGTTTGAGGTCAGGCATTTGTTAGGAGCCATATGTGTTGAACCTGAGAACAATGGTCCAGAAGGAACATCTTCACAAAGGTATTGCTTGTCATTTAAACTCTTTTTAAGGTGCTCTAAGGAAAAAGTTCTGCAGGAACCTGAGCTGCAAGCTCAGATCTGAAGGAGGTTTAGACTTAGACTTTGGCATGTCAAAGCTCTCAAAACCAAGTTATACTAATAATGTAGAGAAACGGACTTCAAAATGTTGGGCTGGTAGGTGCTAGTTTAATGCATGACACACACTCGTGTACAACAGTGATCCAGATTCTGAATAACTTTCCACAGGTATGAACTGGAGAAGCAGCTGAAGTTTATGCGCATCTGCCAGTTCATGTCAGCCAAGAATTAAGATATGAAATCCTAGGAATTGAAATGCAGATAATAAATGAGTAATGTTGATTAAATCATTGGGGCTAAATAGAAAACTCAATTTCTTTGTAATTTTTATATTGCCATCTCAACTGCCTGACTTAAGAGAATCAGGAGGGGAAAAAAAATAATCACATTCTCCTATTCTTGCGCAGAAACATCTAACTAAACTCGAAATAGCACTGCAGTTACTTTTATAGATTAAAAAAAAAAGTTGGAAATGCAAGGTCTCCAATAATGAAAATATGCTTAGTGAGATTCCTTCCTGCTGGCAAGTAAAACTAAATATTCTGTACACTCACCCACAACCTCACCCACTCATCATGAAAATAACTTTAATTCTTGGTCATTGCAAAGGGGGTGCACAAATAGTTACAGTTTCACTGATGCCTACATCAATATTTGGCAGGAATATAAACCCTCTCTTTAGTGGCACTTGCTAACCTGCCAGTGCTTACAGTCAGGATTATACAGCATCAGAGCAAAGGAAAGTGGTGAATTCCTTAGGGAGCAAATCTAAATATACTTCTTGTAGGCAAGGCCCGTAACCTTTGATTGCTGGGCCTACACCAAAGTATGTTTGAATTGTGTGTAGCACAGACCTCAGTAACACAAAGTACCCAGAGTTTATGGAAGCACCTCCTGTGCTCTCTTACAGCTCCTGCTTTCACACCAACGCCTCCCTCCCCATCCAGTGTCTTCACAGCATTTTTCACAAGTGCTTTGCACCAATATCGTCTGTGCACCTTCTCTGAAAACCAGTCGTTTGAACAGCAAATAGCTATAATTTTATTTGAGGTGTCACTCTGGGAGCACTAGAACTAAAGCAGCAGATTTCCTATAAGCAAATTTCTAGGGATGAATTCTGTGTAACAAAAATTCTCTTGTGAAGTTTCTCTGTAACTTTTCCCATCATTATGGCATAACAAGGTCTCTTCTCACCAGACACATTTTACCCCAAGACTGTCTCCCTGTCCAGGGAACTGAGCTGGAATCAACCAGCAGGTTCTGGAGATATTTGGACATACACATGGCTTTGCAAAAGCTGTTTCCAGTGGTCTGTTGAAGGGACCAGAGCGGGACATAAGTAATCAGAGTGGATGCTGCCTTGTTACCTGCTTCTGAATTCCTCTCTGCCAAAAGACCAAGCCTGGACCGTACCTCCATGTGACCACAGCCTGTGCTGAGATGCTGCAGTTAACCTTGCCATGAGGCAAATTCCTTGGTTTTGCACTGGTAGAGATCTCAAAAACTGGCTGTGGAATATGCTTCTCTAGAGACTGAGTCAGAACTGCTGATTTACCACAGAATTCTAGTTCAGTGAATGGAATACATCAAATTGCCAATGTTTTAGCTTCTGCCAAAGTCATAGCCAGGTTCTGAGAGATCCTTGTCTGTGTTCCTGTTCCTCCATCTCCAAGGCACAGGAAACTGGAACACTTTAAAAACACTTAAAGAATCAGTTGATTGCACTCAGATGATCTAATATTACTACTGTCCATGGCAACACAGACCTTTGTATGTGAATTTTGACACCATGACTCAGTCATCTGATAGAGACCAGCACATAAAACATTTTTTTTCCTTTTACAGCTGTTCAGGGCGTCACCTCATATCTGTGGGCCCACCTCTATCTCCAAACAAACTGTGTGTCCTTTGTAAGTGATCTTCAACAGCCCTTTCATTTTAAGGAGGATTTAGAGCTCAAATTCCACAAAGGGGAATAAACAAAAATACACCATCATTTTGCTTTATTTTTTAAAACCATGTGAGAGGGGAGATGCAGCCCCATACTCTTCTGGTCCTCAACCTGAACAGCAAAATGCCCAAGTGCTCAGGAGCTGAGCTGCTTCTCATCAACATTTACCAAAAGCACAGGATTATCTGGACACCTCACTTGAACTTTCCCCTTAGATTCAGCCCTGGAGCCTGTGGTCATTCCTTGGACACCTGGCTTCCCAAGGGGAAGAGCCATCCCTCTGCCCTGTGGGGAAACAGTGCAGAAAAAGGCTGCCTTGCTGGGAACAGGATTCAAGGACACCATTTTCTGTTGCTGGAAACACCAACATCATCTCTGTTCCTTGCATAGAAAAGCTCATTTTAGTATTTTGGAAAACAGAGAGAAAGATGGAGAAATCATTGCCAAACTTTGCCTTAACTCACAGCGTACTCATGGCAGTCACTCTGCACTTTCCTTGCAGGATATCATAGCTGTTCGGCAACAATTTTCCCTGTTGTTTTTCACCTACAGTTGTCTTAATAACTGCCACCAAGCACGCCAACTGAATCTTTACTAGCTCTTGTACAGAACAGTTTAGTAGAGAGAAGATGTTATTTGCAGATTGTTCTTTCCAGTCTGGGAACAGGCATCTCCTATATCAGGAGGATTCACAAAAGGAGAACATGGGTCCTGCACACTCATCCAACAGCCATATTCCTGGAATCTATTCTCAATTCTAGAAGAGTAGTCAAAACAGTCTTTATTCCTAAAATTGCTTGCCACCACCTTCCAAGTGCAAGAACTGCAGCAGTGAGTATTAGCACAGCTGTCCAGACACCGTGTACATCTTTGGTTCAGGTCTCCAGATTCTATTATAGGCTCTTTCTGAAGGAGGTTTGTTGCAATGGCCCCAGCACTCACTGCCAGAGGGTTTTATAGTATGCAGTCTTCTATTTACAGTGACCCTGCCACACAGGCGTTATAACTGCTTCACAAAGCATATGAACTTGGAACTCTCACCTGCATAACGTTAATAAGTAGAGGCATTCACACCTCCCAGTATTTTTCAGGGTCTTTTTCTGATCTGTTGACTCCTGCTGTTACAGGGCATCAAGCTACAGAAAAAAAAACCAAACACCCAAACCAAAGCAAACCACTTACCCTTTGTAGTTTCCATTCCTTAAATGTTCCTTGGGAGGCAGAAAATCCTGACTTTCTCCCTGACTTTAATTTATTGTGCAGATTCCACCCTACTGTTGGATCAGTTCCAGCTGAGTGGAGGAACCCCACACAGCCAGGACAGGTGCTGCACTGAGACATAGACGTTAGCAAACACTTGAGAAGTGTTTAATGAAGGACACCTGTACCTAATTAACTTCTAGAATGTTAGTCATCATAACTTTAAGTCACCTCAAAATAAAAAAAACAAAAACCAAACAAAAACCAGGACGAGAAGAGTTGGGTCAAGATAACCTGCCAAAAGAATTCAAGTTTTATTTGACCACCCTTCAAAGAAGGCTGAAGTTATGCCCCAATAGGAGCTCCCAGAGGGTTGATTTTAACTTGTGTGTTTTCAGTATCCAGGGTGACACGTGCAGGTTTGCTTCTGTATTGATCTGACTTATGTAGACAGACATGAATGAGAACAGCCACAGGTGAGCTCTGAAATGAGGCCTGGAGAGACAATCCTGTGTGTGGGTAGGATGCTCCCAATAAAGTTTTTGTTGTTTTTCCCCCAGCTTTTGTTATTCAAAGAGGAGCTCAAGTGTCCTGCCCTCCCCCCCCCACCTCCCCCAATCCCCACTCATCTTTTTCAGAGGAAATTCTGTTTTCCCCAATTGAGGGATAACTATTCTTAGTGATGTGCACAAAAAAATCCTGGGTTTCTGATTTTGACTGTACAGCCAAGACAAATTATTTAAGTAAAATAGATACTTGCTCCAGAAGTAATCATTCTTTAATTGAAAGATTTTGTTAACTTTGTTTCTGATGGAAAATTTGATCTTCAACTGGTTTGCTAAAATATTTACTAAGACCCAACCCATGTTATTGTTCACAAAGAATAGTTCACAAATGAAAATACAACTAATTGGTTTTAGTATCTGGAACATTCAGTTCTTTCAAGAATACGGTTTGTCTATAAAAATAATGTTTTCTGAACACTGTAACGAGGCTCATGTTCTGACCTGGAACAGTTCATAAAAACTCATTGAAGAGCTGTGAGCCAAATAAGAGTAGCAAGTAACTTCACGTGGGTAAATACAGTACTGAAGGAAACACGGGAAGGAAAACACCTTTTTTATTACAGAAAAAATAGTCTCTTTTTTATGACAAGAATTTACAGTCTCCATTTACACTGTAATGAATGGGCAACTATTGACGTAGTGCTCCGGAAAAACCTAAATGGGCAAAGAATACTTTCAGTATAGTCAGCTCTATTTTTGCAGAGGTCCCAAATGTTCTATTAACATTTGATCCCTGATCACCCCAGAGCAGCACCTTACACCCACGTTCTACTCCGTGCTTCCGAGTGGCAAGGGCTGCACTTACCTCTGTTACACATAGGGCACAGAAATGCCTTAGAATTTCCCTCTGGAAGAAGCAAGTCCCCCTTCACCATGAAAAGCTACAGGAGTGAACTGCCCATGCAAAAGCACAGGATGAAGTAGTATTTTATTTTCAGCATATGGAGTTCACAGTCACCACACTGGAATGCTAAAACCCAGATTAAATAACAAAGCATTTGAGAGAAATCTACTACAAAAAGATAAATGAACTGTCTCTTGATAAATGTTGTTTAATTTTAAGGCTTATATTCATGTGCCGGTACAACAAACGGCACAGGGGTTTAACAAGGGAAAAGCAGGGATAAGAGATAGACAAGAACCGCCCCATTTTGGCAGCAGGGGCTTGGCGTTGCTTTGCTCCCAAAGCTGCTGCGCAGGATCACTAGCCCGGCCCTCAAAATGGCAAGTCTGCATTTAAAACCAAGTAGTTCAAAATTGAAACAGTGAGTTCCTATTACTTATCCTCTGGTTTTTGAGGCTTTAGAGTTGATATTCAAAGACTTTCCTCCCACGCTGTCACAGCTTTAGGGTTACTTACTGCTTCCAAGAAAAGTCGGGATTCCTACATGACTCAAAGAGGTAGAACTTCCAGAGTCACAGCAAGTTTCGTACGATTTGACTAAACTCACAGACTTTAGCAACATGGTTTATTCATTAGGGAGGCAAATCATTTAATCTTTGTCTTCATGCATGAATTAGCAGGACATATTTCTAATTAATTTTGCAGGTTGATAAGCATGAAATACAACATTTCAGACTGAAACAGGAAAGTTAAGCAACTTGCTTAAAGTTTGAGTAGTCCAAAAAGGCCTTAATCAACCATTTTCTGGCTTCTTGCTTTATGCTCACATTGTATCCCTTTAATATATGTACTTTCACAAGTCTTTTCACACAGTTTCCCAGACTGATTTATACACATGCATTTAAGCAATCTAGACTCACATGAAACAGAATCACTTAAGGATGAGACTGTTTTTGTCTGGGTGCTTTATTCAGCTTGGTGACTTCCAGATCATATAGTGAACGATGAAGGGTTTTTCTTCCCTACTCCACAGATGTAGATGTTCAACGTAGGCAGGAAATAGCTTTGTCCTCCCTTTGTATCTTTTCCTGTAGTTTGGTCTTTCATGGACTCACACACACACGTAACCCTGTGCTTCATGGGAATGAGTGTGCACAGAGAATGAACAAAGACGAACAAACCCTGTGTACATCAGCCCTTATCATGGCTCTGCAGATTTGAGACATCCATGGTTTGCAGAAACAGTATCAGCAACCTGCTGTGCTGGGAGGAGAAGGATGTCAAGGACATCCCATAGAGAGAGGACAGAAACCAGGAAAACACTAACATAGCTCCTCAGGAGCAGTACTACCTGCTGCTTTGCTGGCTGCACCGGGACCATTGGGCACTGCACGCTGCCCACAGACCACGAACCAGGAGCTGTTGCTCCTTCACGGTGCTTGGTCACCCCTCCTGACCAAGTCCACATCAGAGATCCTCAAGTTCTCCCCTGGCTCTGGTGGTGCATGTTTTGAAGTGGGGCACAAAGGGATTCCTTTACGCCACTACCTTCAGACCATCACAACCTCTGAGCCAAACACAAAACCCCCCTTGCTGAGAAGAAAAGTAACTGCCAGGCAAGAGCTGTATCTCATGACACTGACCCTGCAGCGCTGGAGGGGATGTAACCCAGCTCCACTACCAAAGCCATTGTGGTTGCATTACCCAGTGCAAATAACACATATATTTACTCAGGGAACTGGAACAGGACGTCATGCACGCTTGGTGCTGAAGAAAAGCCCATTTGTGCCTGTTGTGCTGGACAGTTTGTACAAGATTGATTCTTAAAAACTAGTTGTCTTTATTAGGTTCTCACAATCTTTTACTCTGCACCGAATAAGACAGCTTGTAGGGTGAACCACCTGATTTGGTCCCACCTGAGCATTTTCAAAGATGTAAACTCGAGTTATCACTCAGCTGAGGAAAGAGAAGGAAAGAACCATTGACATGTGGGTCTGAAGGTACTTAAAGAAGTATTCAAATGCCTGCTTTGCACTGGTTCTCTACAGTGCATACCCCCTGGATCTTGCTGGAGCAACACCATGCTAGCAGGGAAGCTCATGGAGAAAACAAGTGGCCCACTGGGTTACACAGGAAACAATCCATGCCCAAGAGGAGACAGTTCTTGTGAATTTTTATTTGCCAGGGTCTAATTCTGCAACTCACCCATTTAAATTAAATACAAATCAGTCACAGGATTGATTTATGTCTCAGAAAGTAACGTTTGCCATTAACAGGACAGAGAGGTGACATGTCCAATACAGCACGGTTATAATAAAACCAGCATTCTTTATTACCCCACATGTACGCTCCCCTGCCCTGACACTCCTGTCGATAAATCACCCTGTGTGGCCATTGAGGAAAATAGCATTTGTTTTCTATCTGCACAGCAACCCAGGGAAGCGCTTCCCTAGTTGAGATGAGGGCACTTTCCCCCTTCAAGACATTTTCAGAACATTCCTCTCTGCACATGGGACAGGGCAGTGTCTGTCCTACGTCTGAAACCAGGTTGAGAGTTTTGATGTATGTGAACCGAGACGGATGAGCCGAGCGCCGCCCACCCCCGCATCCCGGCTCTGTTACCTGCAACAGTGAGAAGCAAGCACTGTGAAGCTCCTGGCAGTGGTGAAGTGTCCAACAGAAGGCAGAAAAAAGTCCCTTTCTCAAATGCATTCAGATACCTGCCAAAGCACAGGAAGGGCTTCACTGCTCCTGCCTTCAGCTTCCTCAACCAAATACAGTGATAGGCTTCAGGTGGTGACAAATGCCTGTCACCAAGCTCCTTCTTGGCACTAGAACTGTCTCTTCCTCAGACAGACTGCGGGCAGAGCAGTGTTTCCCCACACGCTCCACCGTTCCATGGAAGAGGCACGAGGCCGCGCCAGCTGGGCAGAGAGGGTGCACCAACAGCCAGAGGAGAGTTCATGGTGCCCAGCACCTTGAAAGACCACAGAAGATAAAGGCAAGAAAATCAAATCAAATCAAATCAAATCAAATCAAATTAAATCAAATCAAATCAAATCAAATCATTCTTGAAGTAGTTTTCTTCTCAGAAAAGCACATGGTCATTTTGTGGATAAATACTTTTCTCACTTTTAAAGACAAACATGTGAGTATTTTTCCAGTTCTATAAAGAGCATTCATGTTAATCTATTAAATTTCCTACACACACTACTATGCAAGAGGCCAGATACTCTGGCCAGAATTCTACGGTTCTGTAGCTTCTACCTTGCACTCCTTATCATGGAATAAGGTGGGGAATCCCCATGGGTGCAGAATTTGACCCTTATGTCCTCACAACACCCCTGTGAGGTAGATAGGTACCATGATATCTTCTTCAGGAGGGGAAACCGAGGCAAAAAGAGGAGAACTGTCATGAATGAGGCTGCACAGGAAGTCTGGGAGCAGAATGCAGGCCAAGCCCGCAGGTCTCTCTCACCTCCCACCCAGCCTCATCTCCAGGGCTGCATAGAAAGCACCCACGTACCACTGACCAAATACGCCTGGTCCAACACCAATCTTTCTGTAAACTACTTCTGCTTCAGAAATGACATAAACAGTTCCTACAAAATACTTTTCTCACAGGACCTGCAATCCAAAGTACACAAGACAACTCCCATTCCTGTCAGCCAGCACAAGCCCTAATATCTGGGCCACTGCATTTTTACAAATTCAAATAGAGCCTTTTTCATGCCTTGTCTCCACTCCAAAATTCCAGAGTTACTTAATAAGGCACCTCAGGGGCTAACCCAGGGACTTTCACAATAGGTGTGAAGTCCTGTGGCTGAGAGAGGGAAAGGCTCCTGTCCCTGCCAGTGCCACAGTGCAAGGAACACAAAGCCAGCCTTAAGTCATCATTGCCCAAGACATCACCTGAATCCATCATGGAATTATGTTATCTCAACCCTCAATAAACGTGTCTATATGCAGTGAGATCTGGTAGTGAAAACAAGGCAATGGAAAATGTGTTGGATATTGACTTAGAAGGAGTCTACCACATGGTTGAGGACCAACTAAAATATACTGTACCGCACCCTACCATACCATAATAGTACCGTACCATATTGTACTGTATCACATCACACCATACCCCTTCTTTCAGTAGACAAGTGACAAGGATTTCCCTGTACAGCTGCTGAGTTGTGGATGTAAGTGTTAGTTAATGAATTTTCAGCTCCTGCCTGAGTGCAGTGTTCAATGCTAACGATGTACAAGTACATACCAGTGATATGACGGTTCAAACCATTTGATACAACAGCCTGCCCTCTCTTTATTTAAAGTTCAATAAATGCTAAATCTCAACATTGGTTGGAGGTCCAGACAAAAGACCAGAATAAATTTGAGTTGTTTCATGCCTGAACTGATGTGTGATGAGACTGTATAGAGTTTCAGGCAACAGGAAGTAGTATTAAGGGTCCTTTCCTTGTTAAGGCCATGAGTTCTTCACTGCTCACTGGTTAGCCGTTGTGTTTGCCCAGGCTGGGAATGTGTCCAGCTCAAACATAGATCTTCCCCATGTGTTGATGGCCAGTGTGACACAGAGGACTCCAATGATGTTCATCACTATTCCAGTTTTAACCTGTGAGGACAGAAGTTCAAATCAACAACAATAACCAAACAACAGCACGGCAAACTGCAGCAAGGCCTATTTGTACATACACAAGACACACATGGTCAAATAAATCACAGAAATAGCCGTTGTACTCACTGCCCTGGGTTCTTGCTTAGGTAGAAATACCAGGGAACACGCTGTGCAAAACCTTTGAACGCTGTTGTATAACTAGTCTAGGAGTTTATAGGATGTACAACAAATTGCTCTTATTAGTGAAAGAACAGTTTCTGCCCCCTTCAAGTCTCCAGTTAGAAACCCGATAACGTTTGGGTGTTGGGGACAGAACCTGGCACTGTGTAGCCTGTCAGGCAACCAGAGGAACAGAGCCCCGGGCAACTGATTGTCACCTTCTGCTTTCAGCTCTGGTAGAAACAAGGCTTCAGCTACACTCACCAAAGCCCCAGAAGACTGGAAAGCACTGACTGCATTTTAACTCTTCAGTGTTTAAAGATACTTACGACTTGTCAATTTTTAATTTCAATTAAAAGTGTAAGTCTGCCAAAGCCCGTGAGAAAGGTGCTTTTACTTCAGAGATGCAAATCTTTATTGCAGTATTAACACCTCCTAAGAGTTCCAGCCCATAAGAGCTTCCTGGGACTTTGGAAATACTCAGCTAAGAAAATTAAACCTTTGCTGTATTTCAGGATAAAGGCAATGGAGAGCTTCAGATAAGAGACCAGGTAATTCTCATCTTACCATATCCAAAACACGGATGTGGCCATAGGAAAACACTATCGCATTCGGTGGTGTTGCAACAGGCAGCATGAAGGCAAAGGAAGCGCTGAGAGTACACGGCAGCATAACGTACAGAGGATGGATCTTGATAGATGTAGCCTGCAATGAAATGCAAAGAATATCACACTGGAGGTGTTCCAAAAGAAAAGCATAAAGAACATTTCCCAGACCATTAATACACACCGGCTCATTTTGTTTCCTGGTGTATCACCAGGGTAATTTACAAGCATTTTATTCTTAAATCCACACATGCTTAAAGATAACTTTGGTCTCGCTTCCTATCCCACAATACTTTAAAACAATGCTTGGTTCTTTCTTGTTGTTTGTTTTGCTGTATGGTGTAATTTGGAGTTCTGGTCAAATTTATCCAATGATCTTTTCTTTGACCTCAAACCACACTTTTTCCAGGGTAACACAGAAATAAGATTATAATTACTAGGCATGTGGAGTAACACTCTAAGATGTTACATAAACTCTGTGGGACTCAGAATTTAAGTGCCAGTTTAAGTCACCAATAGCTCAGCACCTTGACTGGGATAATTTTACTTTGATGAAATGGTCCAGAATAAAGTGGTTGTACTTTCTAAATTTAAAAACAAGTAACCTTTTTTTCCTTTATGCTACAATTTCAATTCTGCTCAGAAAAGGCAGCAAAACTTACCAGGTTTTCTTCCCTAAGTTTTAAAACTGTTCTGGCTTCCTATGGAAAATGGCACGTTTCTAATAACCAGGCCCACAGCTTTCTGTATTCTAGCATAAAACCATGAAGATGAAGGAACAGTTCAAAGGGATAAATAGAAAGTGCTGGATTTTGTTTTGGTTTGGGTTTTTTGTGTGTGTGTTCTTCCAGTTCTGAGTTGATGGTTCACATACAAAATGACCAGAAGTAACTGATGTTTGTTGATCTGTATTAAAAAAGTGACTCTCACTTCACTTTCTCCAGGGCCCAGGGACACACTGCACAGAGCTGGCTTCCCTTTCAGCAGGGGGGGGCATGGGACAGGCATCCTGAATCGGCATCTTCCCCCAGGAGCTGGGTTCTCAGGCTCCAGGTGTAGGTGGGTCAGATGAAGTCTGCATTCCCACTTTCTATCTACACATGATGCTATAAACATAGCAGCGAACATGAGCTAAAATTACTGTTCATTATGGCACACTGTCAGATGGACTGTTTCACTGCTGGCTTTCAGATTAACACTGGAGCAACATTCAAGACAATAAATATGATATTGCTCTGCCACTAGAGACTGTCAGTTTAACTCCAATCTCCTGGTTGACAGGATAACAGGATGGAAGTGATCTTACCATGGATGAAAAGACAGGTAGGAAGAGGGTGGCTGTGGCGACATTACTGGTGCATTCGGTGAAGACAGCTATAATAAGTGAAAGTACTGTCGCAATGGCCCAGGGTGGGATAGATCCTAGTGGAGTCATTTGATGACCCAGCCAAGCTGAAAGCCCAGAGTTCTGGCAAGAAAAAAAAATATGTTTTTCAGTGGGGCTTAGAACGGCTGGCTCATGAGCAGGGAACTTAAGTTACATGCAATGTTCCTACTAAATAATGCTAAAGGACTCCTGAATTATAGAAACACCATCTGGGAAAGTACAATTATCTGTCACAAACACTAAAAGAAATTCCTTGCTAACTAGACATAATACTGAGCCCAACTTTCCTGATTTTTATGAAACCCAAATACTTGCTCACACCGTGGTTACAAAATTACATTTTTTTTGCTAAACAGAAACAATTATTGCTGAGACTATTGCAAATACTTAATGTATCACTTCCTGCCTTGTTTTTAAGATACTGATGCTGTACAAATGCTGTGTTCTAAGGACACAGGCAGTGGTTGACTCAAACAGCTTACAAAACCTTTCAACTGATGGCTTCTAATGCTCTAGAGCTTTAATAATGTATGTATAACGTATGCAGATGAATGTAAGGCCCTAGAGCTTTAATTTGCCCCATGTTTTAAGTGAACCTGGCATCAAAACTTAGATTTGAATATCAATTTCCCAAAGCATGGCACTGCTGATAGCTAAGACTTGCTTTGATTTAGATGCATCTTAGCAGTGATGAAGGAAACAATATGGTTCACCTCAAGAGTCTTTCCTGTTTTGGGAATTCAGCTGCCTTTTCTGTGAATTTATGAACACAGGATCAAACCACGGGCTTATGGACTGCAGCATATTGCCTGGCAACAGCTACTGACAAGAAGTGCAAGAAACCCCACTGTTCACAATTTTGGAAGATATCTACCCACAATGATTTTCTTCCTGACCAATTCAGTAGTGGTTTGTGTTAAATCTGAAGACATATAGCCTTTAAAAAAACTTCAAACGGTTCTGAAAATCTTACAAGTGTTATCTATACTTCTATTTTTCTAGCCAGAAATAAGAAAGGCTGCTTTTCTGGTCTGTCCAGTGATGATCCCAAACTATTCAGCAGCCTCCAAGAGGTAAGATAAATTGGAGAACTTTGGTCAGAGCACACAAATTCCTGAAAAAGAGGCACAAGCTTTCACCTCTCCTCCCAGTTTTTGCTAATTTGGATCTGCCTCCAGATATGAACATCTTGACTGTGTTTGCCTTTGAGTGCATGCCCAGTAACACCAGACCAGATAACAAAACAGGAAAGTTCGCCTTTGAGTCAGAGAAAAACAGATGTCGGGACATACTGCGCTTGCATCGGCCAAAGCAAAACCTCCTCCCAGCAGCAGCACAATGCTCCAGGGCATCTTCCTCTGAACCACATTCCAATCCAGCAACGGGGCTGATAAAAATGTTTTTTTTATATCTGAAGTGAGAAATGAAACGCAGAACATGTTTTAGGAGAGTGAAGAGATCTTGTCTCCTGTTCTATAAGACCTAACAGGCAAATGAATATTACTGGGAAATCTGTACAGGGTAAGGGAGATACACATGAGCAGGGACCATGCCCCAGCCCTGCCCAAGAAGCAAGGGAGATGAGCTATCCCGAAGAAACGCATGCAAACCCAGCACATGTTTCTGCCATGTTAGCTGGAGCTGGCTAATTGCCTCCCAGTCTTACAATCCTCTTTAAAATACCTTCTTCAGTCTGTTCAGGGTCAGACATGCTTGTCTTACAGCCTGTGAATTTGGGTTTATTAGCAGGAAGGATAAACAGTAGCAGGGCAACAAACACAGCAGGAGCAGAATCAGAGATAAACCTAAAAAAGAAAAGAGAATATAGCTCAGAAAATAGACATCTTTCTTGTAGAAGATGGCTGCCTTCCAGCATTGCGGTCACTACTCTTTGTCATCCTGTTGGGGCTTGTACATTAGCAAAATGGGTCATTAGTTCATGACTGAGGTCTCTTAGATCTGCCATGACACAAACACAGTAATAAAACAAACTAGCTACAACACATTAATAACCAGTGTCACAGATGACAGTGGCTCCTGGGAGCAGGGTTCCTTCTCTGTGGTGAAGCCAAGATTCAAAAGTGGTATCTCAAAGAAAGATGTGTAAAGAAATGGCCTGAATAATAGTCCCATCATGCATTTTGTGTTCTTAATGTGCCACAGACATTATGTGAAAAAGCCATTTGAAGCACCAGATCCATATCCCAGTGAGTTCTAAGATATTTTTTAGAGGTGATATTACCAAATATTCAGATGACACCACAACTAATTGGAGTTCATACAAACAAATTACTACTGTGTACATCAGTGTGACTGAGACCAGCATTACAGAAGTTTCTCTTCCTGTGGGAGGCTCAGCTTGCTCCACATCCCAGTCTCCAGCCTTCACTGCAGTATGAATTGTCAAACAATAGACCGATCGGTGATCTCAGGCACAAGCCATAGGATCAAGCCCAGCAAATGTCAATTCAGACAAGGTTGGAGTGAACGACCCTGCACTCAAAATGGAATGTAAGAGCAAGGGAATTTGATTCACAACAATCAGATCTGTGAATCTGATTCACAAGCCGTCATTTTACAGTATGAAAAAACCCCTAAAAACATACTTTTCTCCTCTTGGGAACAGCCTGGTGGCCCAGCCTTTTACAAAGCCTGGGTGTCTGGTAAACCACAAGAGAACCAGCAAAACAAACATTAGGAGGACATTGAATTCAGCGTAAGAGATAGGGCCTAATTTCTTCATTTCCGCCTTCAGCACGTCACATGTAGCTTTTTCTTTAGCAGATCTCTCTGTTCCACAGCCCCAGCTTTTCTTAAAGCTTTAAGGAAAAGGAAGAAGAAAATACTGTAAGTATTAACATACTAGAGGGATTTAACATGCTTTCCATTCTGAAGCTGTCACTCATGGGGACAGACACAGACTATAGCAGAGGCCAGGAACACAGAAATGACAACAGTGTGAAAGCATTTCATGGGCACATGCCAGTTCTCACAGAAGAATGGGTTCTATGAATGGAAGTAAGTCTCTGTCCAATTTGGAGCAACCTGGGATGAAAACCCCAGTTTTGAATCAAGGGTAGCAGAACAGATATGCTAGCTCTGCTAGGGCTGAAATTCTCAAATGTGAAATTGAAAAATAAAAAGGCAATTCTGTCAGAACATTAAGAACATATAGAACTTTTCCTTTAATGCAACTCCCATGAACACAAAAGGTTTCTAGGCCTCAAAAGTTGCTGTGAAATGGAACTGTTCTCTGCTACAAAACTAATAATTTGTCAGCGCATTTATTTTATCCAGATTTCTCAATAAACTGATCTGCATTAGCTGAGGGGTTTGCATAACATCATGTAGGTAAATACTCACTTGAGTCCCATGAAGGAGCACTGTAGCCAAAACCACGCTAGTACCAACATCAGAATCATGTTTGGGAATGCAAACCCAAACCAGGAAGCAAAATTCACAATGTCATTATTGTCGGGATATAACCTGAAAAGAAAAATGCTTTCTGTACGAAGATCAAAACATTTTGTAATCTACTCTCCATTTAATATGCAATTATACATCTAAATCAAGGACAACCATTGCAAGTAACCATAAGCAACATCCCTAGCCTAACTGAAGTCAATAGGAAGGTGGCCTGGATTTCACAGCAGAACTTAAATGATCCTTAGTTTTCCTTGTCTGTTACTTTAATGCATATAAGAGCTCATGTTGATATTTTAGGTCTCAGTAAGACAAGCTCTGCTGAAAGGTCTCCTACACGTTCTAGGTAACTTTCACTTGCAACATGCCTGCTCATTTACCCCAAGACAGGACGTTCTTTCTTCCTCTGCATTCATTCTAATAAGAGAGCAAGAATTGTCTTTCCTGAAATTAATAGCTGCACTTCTGTGCAATAGAAGACAAAGTTGCTGGTTGGCTTAAAAGAATGAGGCCAGTGTTTCAAGAACAGCGTTTTTTATTCTTCCCTGTGTCCCCCAATAATGACTGGAAGACAAATATCAATAGCAAATTTCCAGCTGGGTGTTAAAACCAGCAGGTAGTGTGGCAGCTGAGGCTGAAGTACTCCCAACAGAAGAAAGCAAGTTGAGGGAGTGTTGTGGAGTCTGCAAAACTTCCACTGTAGATTAGGTTGCGTTTAAATCAATTGCCAAACTCAGTTTAGCAAAGAGAGTATTTTGTGGATAACTCCTTTGCTTTATAACAGTATCTGCACAGTTTCCACAGCCACAGCATGGAGGAATAATACCACAGGAGAGCCTAAGCTATTTTTAGCTCTCTTCAGTGTGCTTACAAGAAGAGTTAATCACACATTCTTCTGATGCTCTTCACTGCTGTTCCTCTGCTAATGTGCTGCATTTCAGTTGAAAAAGAGGTGGCTGAAGAACCAGTATCTCATGATCAACCAGCCGGCTGTCAATTACCAACAAGTATTTCCAAGGTTCTCAGGAGACCTCTAATACCAGCACAGAGCTGCCTAAAAAGGGCTGAAGCAGAAAAATGAGGCCCGCCACTTCATACACATTCCTCGCTCTCAGTTCAACTGTTTATTGCTTAAAGTTGGCAACTGAAACTCTCATCTAAGACTAGTCACAGAAACAGTAGGATAGCCTAAGTAAAAGAAACAGCAAGAATGACTTACTGATTCATCTGGCCTTTCAACACAATGTTTGGTCCCGTTCCAGTGAGTGTCGCAGTTCCTCCAATGCTGGCGGCATAGCATATACACAGTGTCATTCCCTTACACACGCGTTTCCTCATTTTCCTTTCCTCAGAAGATCTGGGGTCATCAGGGACTTGTCCATTGCTTATGACTAGACAGAAAGAACATGACTTGCCTCAGGTAAAGTTAGGGAGGCAGAGAGTTCAGGGCCTGCAGGCTCAGTGCTTCCAGTTTGTGTATACCATTTATCTTACTTCAAAGAAAACACAGATATGTTCATGGGGAGCTGAAAAGAAAGGTCAACAATCTGGTCTACATGATCCATGGATGCTGTTGTCCATACTGGTGCCACAGTTTCTGAGCAGTAATTTCCTGTTTCACACAGAGGCTTACCACCAGCCAGATATTGTCACTGAACTGTTCCAATAGCACAGCTGTGAATATGGGCAGAAAAAAACTCACTGCCCAAAACCAAATTCTTTCCTGGCTTAACTATTAAGATCAATATGCTATGTCAGTTTACATCAAGTGTGAAATTTTGCTGCTGTGTCCATTGCTCTCTGAGGTTAACAGTGGAGGGGACAGTATGCACTACCAACATTTGCACTCATTCTTGCACACAGTCACACAGAGAATTGTGGCAGATCAACTTGCTAATTCAGTGAAATCACATCTCTGTGAAAATTCCCAACACAATCCTTCCTCCTCTGAAAGAGAAAGGCACCGTAGATCTGATGTTTAATGGTATTTAATAATATACCCCTCTGCAACAGCACAGCAGAGCAGTGAAATCAGAGGGACTGAGTCTTTGCACATGGTTCAAGTCAAGTGAAACCCACTGCAGAACCACAGCATTGACAGACAGACCTTGTGGAGTCAAGCAACAGGGTAAGATCAGACTTTAAAGTGTTCCAAAAAGTAGTTTGTCTGCTATGAGTCAAATGATACCAGCTCCTCTTTTCCATGTAGCTTTTAAAGTGTTCCTCTTTCTTCTCCCCACTTCCACATACAATCTGGTCAACAGAGAGATATTTATACCCCAGAACCCAAATAGGTTGGTTCCTACATGGCTTAGAAGCTGAATCCTCACTGATAATCATGAGATTTAGAAAGTGGGATGCTGGGGGGATGTAGATATTTCCCTAAGGATACGCTTTTCAGCAGACAGTTAAGTCTTGGGAAGCTACAGGAGGATGACCCTAGTTTGAAGGAAAGAACATAATAATCTGCATTTGGTTTAGCACTAAGCATAACAAAATGGCAGCTAACAAATTTGTAAGCCATTTTGTAAAGCCTAAATGTTACGCATATATGGATTTTAAGTCAGGTTACCATCCTCTTTCCTTGTGAAAGGCACAGAGAACTCCTAGCTCAGAAGCTCTGAGTGTAGCACGTTCAGTAGCATTAACTCACTGCTGAGCAGGCCCTTACCATGCACTGAAGGTAGATTTGATGCACCCTTTTCCTCCAGCTCAATCACTGTATTTGTTTGCCCGGTTCCTTGTTCCATCATGGTCACATCATGCTCTGTGTTGTCCATCTGATCCAGGACAGCCTGAACAATGGGAACCATCATAGCAGTGGTGGCTGTGTTACTTATCCACATGGACAGGAAGGCAGTGACTATCATAAATCCCAGCATGAGGCTGAAGAGAGAAGCAGGCAGAGGAGAAAAGATGAGAGAACACGGACACTGCCAGTCGTTGCAGACACTGCAATTTAGGCAGTTGAGCCCAGGCAGGAATATGTGTAGCGTCTAGCAACACAAAGTAGGGCCAGATTCTCTTCCAGGACACCTCTGCCACCTTCACTGAGGGAATCCTGGAAAGCCATTTAGCTCCTTAGTCTGCACATTATTAAGTCTGTCATCATTTTGTCCCCAACGGCAAGCATCTAGAATTTAGCCAAAAGCTGGTTTTGGCTAAAGGACAAATAAACTGCTCCTGCTGATGGACTTCACTTCTAGAAACTCTGTACAATGCAGTTAAAGAGATTTTTGAAGGTTCCTTTCTCTGCTGACTGTTAAACACTATCCCTAGGCCTCTGCTAAATTGACACAGGCAAAGAAGAAGAAATGTAATAGTCTTACAGTGCAGGTTTCACCCCAACAATCAGCAGGACCCTCAGTGCAATCCTTTTGTGAAGATTCCACTGTTCAACAGAAATTGCAACAATAAGCCCTCCCACGAAGAGCATGTTTGTGTCATTTAGGTACTGCAAGCACACCTGAAAGACAGAGAAGGCAGGTCAGGGGCCCAAATGTTGCCTCTTGTGAGCTTCACTAGTACATGTTGTCTTCCGTCCTCTCAAAGCCATTTACTGCACCAGGTCCCATCCCAACATGGGCAGAAGGAGTAGCTGCAGCCTCAGAGCCACCTCCAGTTTCTTGAACCCTGGATCCCCTGCTCAAGTGCTGAACTGTCCACTGCAGGGACTCTTTGTGCATCACAAACCTTTTTGGACCATCAGGAGTTAATAAAGTACAAAATGACAGCAGTTTCCTAAAACATTGTTAGGGGCTCAAAGTATTGTGTAGGTACTAGAAACGCTGAGCTCCAAAATGGGTTTCTCAGCACCTTTAGCAACCATACCTGCCCTTAGCAGCTCGTTGGCCAGCAGTGAACTTGCGTTACAGTCCCTAATACAGCTTCTCCCTTGGACTAAAACACGAGCACAACAGCCAGGATGAGCTTTGGAGGGGACACCATGCACTTGCCAGCATTGTGCGACCAACCCCATCAGAAGCAGCTTGTCCCGTGCATTTTGAGATCTCCCAGAGGATGTGTCAGCACTGCTCTCTCATGGGATGGGTTATGAACACACAAGCACTTCTGCAGCGGGATCCACACCCAGAAATGGACCTTCCCCTCTACCACCTCAAGCTCCACCTCAACCTGTAACATTTTGGGCAAATGCGTATTTAGTTCTTCACGTTCCCATACAGGAATCCTGAACACTGCTCAGTATGTTCAGAAACATTACCACAGAACGGGAGCACTCTCCTAGCAGGCTTGTTTGCCAAATATTGATGGAGGACCAGTGCAGTGGATACCCCTGTATCAGATCTTCATTGAGCAAGAACTGCTCCTTACTGATTTAGAGCTCCGAACTCCAAGCAGAGGGAAAAACACCACAGGCATGAGGGAGGTCACAGCCAGGGGGATCACTTCAGTGCACCAGTATACAGCCATGATGATGATGATATACGCACATTTGGCCTCCTGCGACAAAATGGAAGACAAATTTAAGCATAAAAAACTATTCTTAGAGGTAAGAAACACTTTGGTAGCTCTTATAAGGGGCCCAAACACTCCATTGTCTGTAGCTGAACAAGTTATGCTGAAATAGGGAGCAGAGATATGAGGATTTAAAATTGCACTTTTAAACCTTGTTCTGAAGTCCCTTGCATAAAAAAAAATCTTTTTGACCACACTGTTTTTTCTAATGCACCCCCACAAAATGTAGGGTGTGAAAAAAGAAACCTTTCACAACTAGGTAAGTACAGTTTGCAGTATGCAATTACCTCTGCGCAGTTGGGAAGCAGAGCCAAGGTTTTTTAATAGTGTTGTAGATTTGGGCATTTCTATTTTGAGTTAATTATTTTTAAATGGATGGCTGAATTTCCCAGTGTGGGTGATCAGCTTGTCTGAAATTCACAAATCTTTGAGGTGTGTCCAGTCATACACCTGAGCCCAGAAACTGTATCACTGAATAATTTAAAAGTTTGTAACTTCTTTAACGTAACTCTTTTACCTTATGTTTGGTGATTAAGCATGCTAGAGGTATTTAATTACTTTCCCAGATCTCACTGTGTTTATGTACTAAGGGAATTCCCTTGATTAGAAATGTTGTAACTTGTCTTTTTATGCTGTTGATCAGGCATTTCCATAATCTAGCCTCCCTTGGTTTGTACTTTCAAAATTGTTAGTAGAAGCAAGCATCCATTAGCCAACATTAAACAGTGGTTTAAAGCTTAAGTCAGTGTTCCGTAGTTCCAACTTTGCTCAAATTTAGAGTATGTATTTATAGGATTTTATTCTAATACAACAAACAGGACTTTATTGCAAAAATAAATGGTGTCACAGTGACATTTAAAAATTGCCGTAAGGTGATATTTATAAATAGGGGTGTGTTTTCCTTCATTTTGTTGAGAAGCTTAAGAACCAGAAAACAGCCTTTGTAAGTAATTTGATTTTTTTTCTTCAGGTTTCCAGATTAATTGCAGCACTTTTTGAAAAAAATATGTCTTCAGAGACTAAAAGATATCAGGTAGATCAAATTTACATCTCTTCCCTTAATAAATATGAGGTCATCTCATGATATAATTTATGCTGTACCACAGTAACTAAGTGCTAGAACTGACTGTGGTTAATCTGTTGCCAGTATGAAAGACAGATAAACAACCCCAAGTGAATAAAATTCACAGTACAGAAGAAACACTGGCTTTGTAGTGTGGAGAGTAAATAATTTATGTGAAGTTCAAAAATACAACCATGCTTATAAATTAACTCCAAGAATCACAGCCAATTCAAACAACCAAAGATCTGGAATTAAATATATACCTGCATTGATACCTATATCCACCTGTCATTTATAGGAACAGTCACAGAATGCTTCTTTGGTGTCTCTGGAGCAGTTAACAGGAAACACAGTGACCTGCCTTCTCAGCGGGAGCTGGAGACGCAATCACTGACAGAAATGTTACTCTCCCATTGTGAAATACTGTAGTTTCCCAGATTAGACTGATGACACAATATTCTTACAAATACCGGAAAACTAAAGACATACTTTTTTTTTTTAAGGGAAATTATTTTTCCTTATATTGATCAAAGTAGTGCCTAACAGTCAGGAATTCTTTTCTATAAAGCATCAGCATTCAACTTCAAGGCAGGGCTGATATTACTTAGACAGATAAACCAGAAGAGCTGGCAATTCTGTTTATAAATATGCATGGCATTTTCCTGTCCTTTAAAATACACTAAGCAATACAGGTCACCCAGAAGAAAGACTGTTTTTAGCACCAGAATAGCCTCTAAAGCTCTAGTAGGATAAATACTATAAGCTGAGCTTTGATATTTTGCCATAAAGGCTACAAGACATTAAAGACCAAACTCTTCATTGGGTTATTCCAATTTTATGCTGGTATAGCTCCACTGAAAGCAAAGGAGTTGTCCCATTGCCATCAGCACAGTAAGAGGGATGTGAACTGGAGGATATTGCATTTGAAGCCCTGCTGGGATCACTGCACGTCACACAGCGCACAGCTTCCCACCGCACCACCAATGAAGGATGCCACTCAGCAGCACCCCTTCAACTATCTCAGAGCCTCAGCAGCAGCACGAGCTGGAGAACCCAGGAGTCCCGTCTTTCAGTCCACTGCCAGTGGACTAGACAGTGCAAGACACAATCCTAAATGTGCAGGCCAGTTATGCAGGTATTTATCTTTGGCCCAAGAAGAATTGCATCTAATCTGCAAGTCTGGTTGGGTCCACGGAAGCCCAATGTCCTGGCAGTGGCATAACCCTCAGGATGAACAGAAGCTCCTTCTGCAAATTCTGCTCCTTGCACCGGTGCCTGATGGTCACCTGGGAGCCAAACCCGCAAAGCGCTGCGAGGCCTGGATCCCACTCCAGGGACGGGGTGTCAGGGTGGCCCTGCGCCAGCCCGCTGTGGGACATGGAGGGACAGGGCACTGCTCGCTCAGGTGGAAAGGAGATGCTGTGGCGAGGGTGATCGGGTGGCCAGTGGGCAAGCAGGCTGGGTGCCCAGCAAGCCTGGAGGGGCCCCGCGCGGCTGGCTGGGAGAGGGGCTCCTGGGCAGCAGGGCCCCGACCGGGGGCGGGGGGGCTCCTGCAGGGTGGCAGGGCCGGGCCGGGGGGGCTCGGGTCTCCGCGGGCACTTACCCGCGTCTGCACAGTGACCGGCAGAGGCAGCAGCAGCAGCGGCGTGAGGAAGAGGATGGCGAAGGACCGGTACCTCAGCAGGGGCCGCAGGCACGTCGAGGCCATCTCTGTGGGGACAGGCGGTTAGGGCGCGAGCGGGAGCAGCACCCGCCGCCGCCGCCTTAAGTACGGGGCGCGGGGCCGCGGCGGGAGGGACATGGCGGGGGGCGACTCGGCCCGCCCGCGCCCTGACAGGACACCGGGCCCGCCCGCGCCCGGACGGGGGCCGGCCGCTACCGCCCTGAGGGGACACGAGGTCCCTCCCGCCCGGACGGCGGGGCTGGCCGCTGCCGCCCTGAGGAACACGGGGTCCCTCCCGCCCGGGCCGCGGGGCAGCGGCGCGCACAGGGCTGAGGAGCGGCAGAGCCGCTGGTTGCGGCGCCGTCTCCGCGCCCCTGCCCGCTCCCGGCCGCGCCGTCCCGCCCTCTCCCGGGGAGCGGCAGCGGCCCCGGGGACGCGCCGCCCGCAGCCCTTCTCTAGCCCCGGGGGGTTTCCTCGGGCTGAGGTAACGGCCCGCTTCGTCGTGTGGGCGCCGCGACGTGGCATGGGGCCTTTCCCCGCTCCTTAGCCCACCTCTGTGCTCCTGATCTGCAGACCCTCCCTCAACACGGAGAGCTGCTCAGTGGCTGTGTGTGGAGCTACACACCGGTTGTGCGAAGGTGTTCAATCTCCGTGCTCATAGTGCCCATAGAGAGTTGCCGGCCAGCACAGAGTCTCATAGTAACATATATTGTAGGCGCTGACACACGGCTTCTCTCGGGTGCTGGGCGTTCAGGGGGTGCTGACGATGCCGGGGTGGGGTGTGTGTGTGTTTTCTCTCACTCATCACGGAGGTGAGGAAGGACTGAGCTCCTCTAGGGGAGTGGAGAGTTAAAACCGCTATGGGGGTCTCCCCAAAACAAAGGTCTGTGCGGTCATGCATGGCAGTGTTTCACTGCCTATTATTTTGTGAGAGATTGTCTGCGATCTGGGTTAAAAATAACCCGGAAAGGTTAACGTGAAAGGTTATTTTTAATGTGGTTCATTTCAGTGATCTGGTCTACAGTGTAGCTGCAGAATCAGAATCAGAAGTGAAGGCACTACTGAAAGGGTGGCAAGCACCATCAAGGTGGCAGAAAGGTACAACTGGAGGGACTGGAAGACAAATAATTTGTTGATATTTTATATTCTGCTTTTGGGATGCCAACTGCCACCTGAAATTGAAGGCAGCATAAATCATATCTTGACAATTTGATCCTGCAGTCTCTTAGCACAGTCTAACCAAGCAGTTACAGAAATAAAGAATTTCAGGTTCCACAGCAAGTAATGAGGGAGCTCAAACTACAGCTTGCAGTATTTGTCCTCTGCTGACCAGAGGAACTTGAGTGACAGAAGTTCAAAACAAGACACTCCAATGTTGCTGTTCTGTTTGTAAAAACAGTGAATGCCCACTAAGGAAAATAGTAGCCAACCGGATCTGGACAGATTCCAAATCTACAGACCTTTAGCAGCAGTCCTTCTGGGTAACTTACCAACACAGAGGAAACTTCACACCAGCTCAAAGCCTAGCTGAAAGCGGGGAATCAGCCAAAACTCGCATTCCTGTGGCCAGTCTCCAATGAAAAAATGGTCCCTAGTCAACAAAGAAAAAGGATTACAAGCACTTAAATAGGAAAATGCAAAGAATTAACTCTCAAGGAGTTGTACCAAGGTTCACTTTGATAGACCAGTGCAAATATGATTTGCTCTCTTCTTGTTTAACTGAGATGCAATGCAGAAAATAGAAATAAAAAGAAAGGCCATTAACGTGTTGATACCTTCAGATGGACTAATCCTGTGAAAGGGGACTTGCTTGCTGTACCTGGGAATGAGATCAGGCACTCCATGGGCAATTCAATTAGCCAGCCCATCCCTCAGCATCCTCTTTTATCGAATATGGAGAAGGGAATCAGTATTTCCTTATTATGCAGAAGTATTGCACACTTGCTTTCAGTGCAAAGTACATTCTATGATATGGAACAAAATAAAATAAAATAGGATTCACAGAAAAGAACAAGCATCTGAATAATAGGAAATTAGATTGAAAGATAGTGGAATACCCTTTTCTGCTGTTCGTATAGCAACTGCCAGCAGGCCTCCCAAGAGATTCTAGAGCAAAAAGGAAGGAGCAAAGGAGGAAAACAGAGTGGTGTCAGTTAGGACCAGCAAGTACCTGACCCTTGGAGATAAATACGCAATTCCCAGTTCTGCCAGTGGACTTGCCTGATCAATACCTCTCCAGTTGAATGAGGATGGAGATCCAGGAGCAACATTGAGTCCAGATTTGAATGAAAGCATGTCTAAATCTCCTTTATCTGATCATGTTTTTATCTGAGACCTATGTCTTAAAATCAGCAACTGTAATCTTTCCATGAATCAAGACCACCACTGATAAACTGAATTTACAAAACTAAATTTAAAGCTTGATCATTCCCAGAACTTTGACTAAAGCAAAAGCTGGGAAAAATCTTAAGCGTGACCATAGAAATGAGCAACTTTTATTTCTTTCTTTCCTTTTTTTTTGCAAAAGTAGGCTCCTTTTCTAGGTTTGCTTCAGGAGGAGAGCAGGTTGGTTTGTTGGAACGTGTGTGAAATACTTATTGACGAAAAATGTCTGTGCTGACTCTGCTGAGAAGAAATCTAATAAGTGCCAAGTACAGTTCCTGTGGAAGTCTGCTGGAATCCAGCTAAACCCAAGCAAAGCAGCTGGCTGTTGCAGAGCAGCAAAGACAAAGTCCTGCACTGAGCTGAACCTCTAATCTTGAAAGGCAAATTCTGACCTTGTTACCCCCTTGCTCAAGCCATCCTGCCACTGCACACTTCATATTTAAGATACCTCTATCCCTATTTTAAAATCTATTGCAGGTTTACGTGTGTCAATTAATGCTCTACTGTAAGAGCCAGGAGGCTGAGAAGTTCACTGAATCCAGATGGTAGAGCCACATGGTCACATATCATCAAATAGCTACAACATGGGCAGGAAGAACACCGTGTAAGGGCAAAAGAGAAGATGCTTACGTTCAGGTAAGGAGTGGAAAGTCCGTGCCATGCATCATCTGGATGCAGGAAGGGGAGGGCATGGATGACACGGGAGAAGAGATCAGTTTACAATGCAGGCTCTCTAAGGGATCCGCGTGCACCAGCAGAGCAGCACAGAGGAATATGTTCAATTCGGTGAGTCTTCCAGCTGTTCCCCATCTCCCCCAGTCTACACTCAGAGAAATTTGGCACTGGCCGGATAGGAGAGTGCTGCAGGAATGGCAGCTCTTTCACAGAATTTGCCCATGAGTTTCCTCTTCACTGTGCCAAGGAGAAGGCGGACAAAGCTTTGGCTGCTTGCTTTGCAGAGCTAGTCTGACAGTCGGGCAAAAGGAAGCTGCAGAGAGCCCATCGTGCTTGCAAAACCTCCAGCAGGAGGAGTTTTAGATGATTCAAAGACAGCATTCAAACAAAAACCTCCCACAGCCTGAAATTCAGCTCATGCTAATTGAGCACTGACTGCAGGCCTTAAAAAAATAAAATCCTTTCCTCCAGTCAGTTCTGCTCTGAAAGTAGCACAGACCAGAGCAGGATTTACAAATATGTATGAGATGTGTGGTTTCATGGTCTTTAACTACTGCTTGAAAGACAGTAAGTAAAAGTAGCTTTTGCTTGCAGATGCCATTTAGAAGCAGGAGACTATAGCAGTCTCTGGGCTAAATTTTGATGCTCTAACATTGAGTAATATGCTGCTTTTGTTCTTCTTGGTAGCAAGTTTCCACTCAGTTTACAAAGGAACTCAAATCTTTGTGTTATGAAGAGACTTGGGCACACGTAGTGACATGAAGTGGAACCAGGAGCTGGGTCACGTCTCTTGTACCTGGATCCCCCTTTCCCTGGTCACTAAACACCATTGCTCCCATTTGCTGCTGTTCTACCCTAATAAACAGGTATTTTAAACCATATCAAGAACCAAAAGTCTGATGCAGTAACAGAACCAAGCCCACCTCATGGCTCACTGCCACTGACCTGCTCTGCCTTTCTTGCCATTTTTCAGCTGGTGGCTCTGGAGTTTCGGGGTTTACCTTGGCAAAGAAAGCAGAACATTTTTCTGCTGGGTTAGTGAGCTGAGTCAGTTCAATGAAGCGCACAGTGAGCACTGGAGCCAGCTCAAGAGCCTGGGCCGCTGCTGGCTAGGAGCAGTAACAGCTGGGACAGGAACAGTCGGACCGGACCTTTCAAGACAGCAGATTCATAGATGAGCTTGACAGCGTTGTCACACCACACACAGAGTCTCACAGTCTTCCCTTTTGTACTTCGGATAGCAGATTCAACGATGTGAGCCACTGAAAGAGCTCCACTCGGAAGTGGGACACTGCTGAAGACTAGTTAACAAAGGCTGACCCGCATTGTTTGGGTTAGTAGAAAGGGACTTGAAATCAAGTCCTCTTGGAAGGCAGGAATTCCAAGGTCATCAGTGTGGGTGGAAAAAATGGAAAATAAAGATTTTAGTATAGTTTAGGTCATTCCCAAGAAGCTGCTTTTCTGATAGATCTTATTCACTACAAGCCAATCATCCCAGTTACTCCTGTTATTGCTGGATGGGAATAGTCTGAGGCAAGGAGGTTTTACAGGCAGCAGTTTATTCATTTAATTACAGATATACATATTTTCTGCCTCTAATTCCAATGCTGTCCAAGCACACAACTACAGTTTGCCTGTTTGAAAGCAGTTCATTTGACCTAGATAATTGCTATTCCCTTTCAAGACAGAAACTCTCCTCACATTCTTTTTAAAGTTCTTTCATGTTGCAGGCTCCGTGCAACACCCAGAAGTACAAAAGTTTTAACAAAATTACATTAAACAAGGACTGTAAGACCTATCATTCTTGACACTGAGAAACAAAAATGAAAACAACTGACCCTGAGACATTCTAGGACTTAGCAGAGAAATAAGTGTCTTCTACCCAGGTTTTGAAAATCACATTTGAAAAACAGCCAGCTCAGAACTTACCTCTATGTGATGCTTGACTTAAAAAGATGCCTAGAAGAGGTCTTGCACAATAATGTTATGCACTGGAAAGTTTACACAGAATTTAAATGGAAAGAGTTATTACCGGCATTCAGAGAAAATCACTTTTTCATTACTTTCTGTTTTCCCTCCAATCAGTACTTTCCAGCCACTGCCAGTCCACTGTGTTGCTTTAGGAGTATCTTTCAGCAAAGTTCCCAGTGGAGCATCTGATATTTTTCCAAGAAAAGCTTTTGAGGCTCTGAACGAACAGTCCTTGCAGTACAATCCCTGTGCCCAACAACTTTCTACATAAAAGCCCTCATTATGAATTTTGAGTCAGTGGGGTTTTCTCACTCAGTGTGTGTTGCTGATCAGGCTTTCTTGACCTAGAATTGGTATTTCGCGTACACTTTGTGTGAAGCCCTAAAGCACATTCAAATGCTGTGCAGGCTAATGACTATAAATGAAAACCCCAAAAGAAAATCACATTAAAAAATTTGATTCAGACTTGGCAACTCTGTAACCTCCCCCTTAGCTGCCATCTCATTAACATATTTGTTCAAAAGCCTTTTCTCTGCTTCATTACATAATTTGTGTTACAAAATCCAGATAAACACCCATTATTCCCAGGTCTCCCCGCACCAGCTGGCTGTGTTTGAGTGGACAGTGTTGTACCGGGGAAGGCTTGGGGGGCCGACGTACTATGACACTGCTCTGGAGGTGGAGGGGCCACGGTGAGTCCCTGCCCCTCCCTGTGACTGCCACCAGCCCCTGGAGATGGGTGACACCACAATGGTTGCGGTGACATCAGCCAGGCAGGGGCTGAGGCCAGTGGGCACCAGCCGAGCCTGCTGCCCGTGGGCAGCCCTTGGGGTTTGGACCGCGGGACCGAGGGGTTCTTCAGGGTCCTTCCCCTCCCTTCTGCCACACCGTGTCTGGGACCACAGTGCTTTGGCTGCCAGTAAAATACCAGCAATGGTGAGTTCAGGGGCAGGGTTGCCATGATCTCTGGAGGTTCAACCGCCCACTTTGAGCTGGGCAGGATAGGGCGACGGGCCCAAGGGCTCCCCACAGCCATCCCTGCTCCGAGTGTGAGAGGAGTTGGTGGCCAGAGGGCTCCCTGTGGCAGCAGTCTCCCTGGGGAGGCAGTGACGAAACAGTGTCCCACTGCCTCTGGCGCCCCTGAGGTGCGAGCAGGCGGCCTCCCTCCGCAGGGAGCCCCTCGGCCTGCAGCTGCTGTGGGGGCAAAAGGCAGTCGTGACGGGGTGTTGGAGAGCAGAGGCCACTATTTGCGCTGGTTTTGTCTGGGATAGAGTTACATTTCTTCATAGTAGCTGGTATGGGGCCATGATATGGATTTGTGCTGGAAGCAGTGTTGGTAGCAGAGGGGTGTTGTCGTTATTGCTGGGTGGCCCTGGCACAGCGTCAAGGCCTTTCCGCTCTTCTTGGCCCTGTCAGCTCTGGGCTGGGGGTGGGCAGGGGGCTGGGAGGGCACACAGCCGGAACAGTGACCCCAACTGAACCAAGGGGCACCCCATACCATGGGGCATCATGCTCGGTACGTACAGAAATTCAGAGTGATGGCATTTGTCTTCCCAACTCACTGTTAGGTGTGATGGAGCCCGGCTTCCCTGGGTGTGGCTGAATACCAGCCTGCCATGGGGAGCAGGGAATGAATTCCTCATTCTGCTTTGCTTTCACTTTCCTGATTAAACTGTCTTTACAGCTTTCTCACTTTTAACCCTTCTGATTCTCTCCCCATGCCAGCCATGGGGAGTGGGTGAGCAGCTGCGAGGGGCTCAGTGTCTGCCAGCCCTGCTGCAGAGAACATCTCTGCCCCCCACTTCTTTGGGCAGCACTGGCGGCAGCCCTGCCTGCTGCATACACCACCGCCTGTAAACTAAACTTATTTGGGAAAGAAGGAGACTGACACCCTGAAGTTCCTCTAAGGACTAGCAAACTAATCTGTATGTGGAACTCACACTAAAAACTAATTCTTGCCTGGCAATACTGCTGTTTCTCCTTTAAAGAATTTTTGGCAAGCAGCTGTTTGGGGTGGAGTTACTGCAATAGAGGCTTTCAGTTTCGTTTTTTTTCCCCTTCTCTGCTCTTAGAAGAAAAGATATCCAGCAGAATAAAAAGAAAAATCATGGCAGACGAGAGCAAGTTCTGCAAAAATTGGTAAGAGATTTTTCTCTCTCTCTTCACCCCTACAAAGTGTGAGGTTTTCAAGAGTTTTGTGGGATTTTCCATAATGTTATCTACGTCTCCTGTAACGGGGAGAAGAGGAAGAACCGCATGGTAGGATGGGCCTACACTAGCCATTGAGTAGTAAACAAAATTATTGTGTATGCATTTTCACATTCCAGGTTGCTGCTTTCTTGTTACTTTGCTGTGGAGAGGTTTCTTCTGTAGCCCTCTCCCATGCTGCATGTTCTCTTTTTATATAATATTGCTGTGGGTAATTTTGCAGTATCTGGCAGAGGAGTCAGTGCATGGACCATGCCGAACCCTGCAGCTGCCTCAGTTTTCTCTCGTGGCTGATGTTGCTAAGTTTGCACTTAAGTGATAAAATACCCATTTTTTCACGGCAGTTGGCACCTCTCATAGGATAGAAGGCTGAAAGGGGCCATGAAGATAGCATAGCTTGGTGTGTCTCAACTAGTAGTGAGGCCATTGGGCAAATTATATGAACAAAGACTATGAAGCACTGCAATTGAAAAAAAAAAAAGGTCAAATTTAGAAACATTAAACATGAGCTTAGCCTCAGTTATATTTGGTCACAAAGAAAACCAATGCATAGCCTTGCACAAAGAGAGTCTGTGCATTATATTCTAAAAGGTTGTAGGGGATGCTTTGAATAAAGAAGTTGCTGCACCTTGACTCCTTGGCAGACCTACTTTGCCTAAAACTTCCAACAGATGCCGCTAATGAACAGTCTGGTGACAGAGATGACATGTTCCCACAGGAAATCCATTCCATTGCTTATCCATCACGATCACGGGAAAGTTCACCTCATGTCTAAGGCAGATTTCTTTGAGGCAACTTACCTTCTCTAAGAAAATTAGAAGAGTTTGCTGCACCAGGACTTTTGTGCTGTGTCTGCTCTGTCTGGGTACTGGGCTGTTGGTAATTTATGTGACCTCCTGCTGGCCATTCCCTCCACATTGAGCAACGAGCCCCTATGGTGCTGTGTGTTGTATTTGTGACTAAACCAGGGTTGATAATACACCAATGTTTTGGCTTTTGATGAACAGTGCTTGCAGAGTGTCAAGGTTTTCTCTTTTTCCCCACTTTGCCTCCCCTCCCACGTGAGCAGTCTGGGGTCGAGCAAGAGTTTGGGAGAGGACAGAGCTGGGACAGCTGACCCAAACTGATCAGAGAGATATTCCATACTGTATAATCTCATGCTCAGGAATAAAAACTGCATTAGAGGAAGAACAACAGGATCAGGTTTTGGGTTTTTTTTGCTTCCAAGGTGGTTGTTCTTCAAAGGCTGGTTGGGTATAGGCAAACTTGTGAGAGGCAGTGATGTTGTTTGCTTGACTTTTTTTTTCCCTCCTCCCCTCTTTCCTTCAACTATTAAACTAATTCAACCTACAAATTTTCTCACTTCCATTTTTCTATTCCCCCCCCATCACACTGTGTGTGTGGTGGTGGTGAGTGAGCAGCTGTGTGGGTGCTTGGCTACTGGCCAGGGTCACCCCATCACACCAGTTCATTTACTCTTCTCTTTTTCCTATTTATGTGCTCTGTAGTAAACGAGATGTGTCTGCTGCCAATTTCTCACTCCATGAGACCCATTGCTTGCGATTTCTCACTCTTTGTCCGGAATGTGATGAACCAGTTGTCCAAAAGGATATGAAAGACCATCAAAGAGAAGCACACAAGCAGGTGAGGAATGCTACAAGTTCTTCAGGGTTTTCTACCAAAAAGCAGAAAGTGCTGCCAGCGCTGAAGTAGTACGTTGTCTTGATGTCAGCTGGGAAAGAGTTAATTTTCTGTCTAGTGATTGCTGTGGAAGGAATGACAATAATACCTATTGTTTTTACTTGTTGCTCAGTGATATTTACACTGTTCAAGGACTTTTTTCAGCTTCCCATAGAGGAATAGACAGAACAACTGTAGCATCTCAGTTTCCCCAGAAATACAAATTACAGATCAAGTATGGATATGCCCCTAGTGCTTGTGAATTAGCCAGAGCATGCAAGTTAAATGATTTGACTAAAGGAAGACAGACAGTACCTGATGTGACATAAACGTTGCTTGTACAAAGTTATGGCATCAATGCACCTTTTTAGCAAAACTGAACTTGCAGAGTAAATTTATCTCATATAGTGAGGTAATAGCATTTTTAGTATGGCATTAAGAACCCTGTAGCTAGAGGTACTATGTTGAAGCATGAGTGCACAGGCATGACTTTTTAATTCTGTTTTACTTGTTTTATTGTTTTAGCAGTTCCATTGATTTCAGTTACTTAACAGAACACATGAGTAGCTCTTGAGGCAAACCTATAGAAAGCGAGAATACCTCTTATATTTTCAGAGGAGCTATTATGACTTAGACTACCTGAATATCAGAGCTATGCTTCTAAGTTAAACCTCAATCAAAAATTTGAATACACACCCTTTGTTTTACATCACACGGGCACCTTTGAGAACTGCATCCCTGCACAGAATGACAGCTTCTATCAGAATCATCAGATACCTGTTTTCCTCAAAACCTCATCAACACAGCTCAGGCCTGGCAGCAACCTGAAGCTGTATTGACATATGAAGCACTAACCACCCTTCTGTGCTCCCAGTGAACTCCTGTGTGCTTTGCTTGCAGGTCAGATGTAATCTTTGTCACCAAAGCATGCAGCAATACCAGTTGGAGCATCATGAGGTACGTATGGAGTGCGTTACTCTTTACCTTCTATGCTGATCCCTTTGATCAGCCACCAAGAGTCGCTCTAATGGGTTCAACTGCAAAAACATGTAAATCCCTGACTCCTGTCCTGGACCATGAAGAAACTTAAACCTCTCAACAGTTTCAGTGTGTTGGCATACCTTTTCCCCTTGCACGTAAGTATATCCCATGGTGGTTGCTTATCCAGTTTTGATGGGACAGTCTGTTCCAGGAGATAATCTATTACTTTCTCATCTTTGGCACCTCAAGGTGATGTTCTTTGAGGGCTTCTCAAAGACATTTCTGTCCTACCCCTACACTCATATTACCTGTTTTTCCAGTGGAGTGGTTATACAAAGCGAGAGTCAGCTCTCGCATGGGAGCCTTGCATGGGAACTACATGAGTGCAAGGCCAAGAACAGGTAAGGAGGAGACAAGCAAAAGAATTAGCAGAGGCTGCGAAGTGAGAGAAGCCTGTCCCTGCTAGCTGTAGTCTAACCATTGCAAGGAACCAAAGCAGTGAAGACGCTGCAGGCTTCCCCTGGTGGTGGTAGCTGAATTTTTTGGAATTTCCTAGGTGGGCTTGTGCTCTGTTGCTAACCTGTACTGACAAAGAACATCTTCATTGCTATTGTTTCCCGTTTTGCCTTATATTGCCTAAATCATCCTAAATTAAAGATAGCCTAGTTGATAGGTGAACTCCTAACACAGCTAAGCCTGCATTTGGTTATGTAGATACCCCTTAAGGAGGGCATTCTTCAACATTCACTCACTGCTCTCACCCAATGCCCTCTTTTAGTCTTGACAGAAAATTTGCAATAATTTCCTCTCTTCATGTGCAGGCCAACGAATGCCTTGAACGAGCAATGAAATGCAAAATCTGTGAGCTTGAAATGCCCTTCAAGAAGCTGCAGGAACACCTGAACACCTGTGCCAGCCGAACAGAGCGGTGTTGGGAGTGTAACAAATACATCATGTACAAAGACGTGAGCAAACACAAAGAGATTTGTCAGAACAGCAGTCTGTCCTGTCCTAAGGATGTGAACTTTCAATCCAGTGAAGCATCCACTAATGCAACATTTATTTGCCCCACTGGTAAGCAAAATAACTCATTGTCATGGACTGGGTCAACTCTGTTAAATCTCACTAAAATTCTCCTGCCTTCTCTACAGTTCTCAGTAATCCAGACTGGAGGGATTGTTGTTTAACCAACCACAGTGAAAGGGCCAGGCCTTGCTATCTGTTATACTGGTTATTGTAAAGCCAGAGTGGTTCCACTGACTGGTAGCTCATAAGCCATATTCTTTTATACTTCCCTTGTGTCCTGCAAGTGAAATAAGTGGAACTTCTTCCTCTTTCTATTTGTTGCACAAGAGAAAATATTATTTAGAATTTTTTCCTACTTCATATATAAAAGCGATGCATACTTTGATTTCTTGAAGTTGAGAGCGACTTTATTAGGCCTAAGGTATTGGACAGAGTATGTCAAGACAAAAAATTCATGAATTCTGTCAATGATTCTGGAAAAGAACAGGCATCAGTAGGTTGGCAGTGGTTGGCAAAATAAGCTATAGAGAAAAAATCCCTGGCAACAGAATTAGCTAGGCCAGGGTAGAAATGAAGCATCTTGAGCCATGGGGCTGGAGTGGAACTTCAAATATCCTGAAGTCTGCAAGAAGGAATGGTGGATTGGTGGTGCCAAAAGCAAAATGTAGTCACAGCTCTAATTCCTCTTTGGCCAGTGGAATCAGCTTCTGTGCTTCTCTAGAACTGGTGACCATAAGTGGATCTGTGCACCCTGTCTAGATGACTAGTGTCAGTATTGTGTTTCTCTCCATTTTTTTTTCCTTCTGAAGGTACTGGTGGCAATTTTTGTCAGAACTGCAATAAGTCGTTCCCAGATGACCAATACTCCCAACATCTGGTAAGCACATTTGAAACTGAACAAGAAAATTGACTGTGCTTAATTTCTAGCCAGGTTATTCATCTGAAAGGCTATATATTAGATAAGAAAGGGCAGTGTGTCTTGGCTCTTCAAACTATAGTTTCACAATACAATGTATTGAGCTGAAGCATCACAGTGAGGTGGTGTCCACTGTCCCTCCCCATGACTCACCTCGGTCACAAATCCCAACATAACACGGTCAGGTGTAATGCCAGTCTTCACCTTGTTACGCATGCTCTCTTTCAACAGAATAAATGCAGTGCAGCCCATAAGCTGATGGAAGTTCTTGCTGGCCAGTCAACTTCAGAACTCAGCGGTGATCCACCACAGTCTTCTTCCTCCCTTGCTCCCTCTTCCCGCTCCGAGAATTCAACAGCATGGAGAGATGTCCGTCCCAAAGGGAAAGAAAGGGACCAGCCACTGACCTCCAAAGCCTTGCATAAACCCGCAAAGAAGAAGAGTGGCTTTCCTTCTCCCACAAAAGGCAGACTTTGCACATCACCTCAAGATTTTAAAGAGACACAGTCTTTTGACATGCTAGTGACTTGTGCTCATTGCAACATTCTTCTGCCACTTCCAACCCTTCGGAAACATGAGGTGAGAAGTGACACATTGAGTTCTGCCTCCTACATGCAAAGAGCCATACCCACAGAATCACTACTTTTCTCCACGCTGCCTGGTGTCCAGTGCCTGCTTCTGGATTCAAAAGCTTCTTGAAATGCTGGCCATAGGTACTCACTGTCTGTAAAGGATTTGTTAATTTCCACTGAGTATTTGTGCTCACATCTACACAACAAGATCCACTCCCTACAGTCTGCTTGAGTTTCAGGAAAATAATAACCATGACTCAAGCCATTAATTTTAAGCTCCAATCCTGGAAAGTCTTCAGCAGCTCTCCTTATTTGCTGAAGGCTGATACTGTTTCTGCTGAGCAATCAGTATGATTATCTCTCAGCTGCATCAGAGAGGGAGCTCTAGATAATTTTCCATCCCAACAAAGGGACCCAGTTGCCTCCCTACTGAATATGATTGCATGTTGAATATAATGTTAAATTCTCTTCTGATATGACTGTTACTTATTTTTCTAGATCAAATGTCTACGTTTGACATCTTTGAAAAATGCTAGGATGAGACGAAGATCAAGCCGTGGAGAAAAAGGTACCGCAGAATTTCAGAAATTTAGAATAGAATTTGTCATTCAGGATTATTCTACACTGGGTTAATAGGAACAGTGGAATATTTTGCAGAGGAAGTGTGTCTTGGAAAGCTAATACTCAGAATATCACAAAGCTCTTTAGATTCCAACACACAGTGGTTTCCCATGAGGTTGCATGAAGCAAGCATTGCTTCACAGCCAGTATCTTTTCACTCTCTCGGCTCAGAGTGACGTGTACTCTCCCTCAAGTTATGCTCCTCTAAACAGTGCAGAACCTTCCCTACTGCAAGCAGAAATCAGCACAAAGGATTGCACAGAACAGATGTTCTGTCCCAGGTCTGTCTGCTCCAAAAGTGAATGGAGACTTACAGAATAGTTTCAGAAGAAGTAATTTTTTTTCTCCATAGTAGAAATTGCATATTTGTTAGAAGCATTGATACAATGATGCCAGACAATACCTCCAGTTGAGCTTGCTCCAGTAAGTCTCGTTCCTCGCCCTGTTCCAACAGGCTGTGAATCTTAACACTTCTCTCTTTGCTAACATCCCCCTCTGCTTCTCAGTTCCTAAGCAGAATTGTTTCCTCTCAGTCCAATTAATTGAGTGAAACTGAAAGCAGTTGTTCTCAATCTGTCCTTTCTCTACTTGGTTCAGCAAATGAGATATTCTCCCTGTAAAACTTTCCTCTCCTGGTAAATGAAAGAGAGAAAGCACCAAAGTGAGAAATAGGAGGTTTGTCTAGTTTTGTATTACAGAACTCTAGTCTTGAAATGAAAGTAAGTACGTGGTAATTACATGGATTATTTGTCTTGCACTGTGTTTTTTTTATATTGTTCAACTGAATGATGATATAGGAAGGCTGTAAAACGGAAACTTTAAAATCCCTCATAATTGGGCTTTGTTTGTTTTACAGAAGACTCTTTCTAAGATGCTTATGATTAAATCTGGAAATAGAGGCACGTCTTCAGATGGAAGCTTCAGCTCAACTTTTGCAAAAGGCACTGAAAGTGCAATAGCCTTATTGACAAATAAAAGTGACTTGCTCCTCTGGACCGAGAACAAAAAAAAACATTAAATCCTGCTCTCCTTCATTTCAGCGACCCACTGAACCTAGGGCTGGCACAAACAGCTTAGTCTCGGGAGATTGCAGACAGATCAAAAAATAACTGGCGGCGTTCTTCTGATACACAAATGGAAACTGATAGATCCTCATGGTGGGAAAGTTAGACATGGGGAGTGAGTGGATGCTTTATGCTAATGTTTGTGAACATTTGTGAAGCAGCCTTTGCTGCTTGGCATCTTACATCAATAAATGCTAAAACAGAACAGTTTTACTACAAGGTGCCATTTTCCTCTCATCCACCTTTAGCAGTGTTCAGTCTTACAAGCTGCTGTGGAACTAATGTACATATGCTGACCTATAATTTAAGTAATATCTTGCTTCTCAGATCCAAACATGGTGATATCTGCATCATTTATGCACATGCACACATAGGATGTGAAGTCAAGCTGAGTTCATAGACTCCGGCAGTGATTCAGCAAGAGCCCGGGCTGGTCTATGTGTGTTGTAGACGTATCCATGTGGGCAGGACTGAGCTGAAGTGCACCAAGGGACGTTCCAAGAGCAGATACTGCCATCCTTGTGCCCACTGGGCCAGTGCAAGCATCATGAGTGGGACAGTGGCTGGTCGTGTGGTCAGACAAGTGTCAGCTCCCTTAAACTCCAGCAACAAGACCGTAACAACCAGCAGCTATTCCTGCATTCACACCCCGCTAATCTCAATCTGAGACTCTGCTGCTCACAGGCCAAGAGCCCGTAACTCCACTCCCTGGCTTGTTTTGCTGATCAGTGCCTGGTGAACTGCATTTAAAGCTTGCGGGGGTTTGTCCCCGACATTTTTTCCCAAACTCTGTCCAGATTTAAGAAGGGATTTTCAAGCACTAAGACAGTACTCTCACTGAGGATCATTTAAAGTTTTTTAAAAATTGTTCTGAACTGGTAAGGTCTAACATTGAGCATGGTGCTATGACATGGAATTTTCTGTATTTGAGGGCAGAGAAAAGGGCTGTGAAAGCATGTCCGTTAAAGCCATATCACTATGCATAAATTTAGCCTCTTTTATTCTGCACTCATTAGACTTTCACATAGCTTAGTATTCTTATTATTCTTTGATACATATCACAGCAATGGACTTGATGGATCCTCACACAAGCACAAGCTCTCTCACTGCTGGTTTAGGGGTCTGTCCAGGTTCCAGGAAAGCTGGACTTACCAGGCCCCAAGGAACTTTTCCATGTTGTTTTTCAAAGCCTGTTTGAAGAGGGCTGGCAAACATAACATGGTCTGAAAAGAATCCACAGTAAATGAGTAAAACAAGTTTGGAGACAAACTGGGGAGGCAGCTTGTGCGCTACATTCTAAATCTTTGCACAGAGAAAGGCATGAGAGCATTTTCATCCCTTCTGAAAAGGAACTTTGGAAGCTTTGCTGCCCAAATGCCAGGCAAGGTGCTTTGCACCTAGAAAGAGCCCAGTTTGCCAGAGAGGAGAAGAAATGTACAGAGCAGGCTGGTGAGGGATGCTGGCACCGGCCCTGTCCTCACAGGCCATGGGCCATCAGGGGTCACCCCGACAGCTGCAAGGTCACCATGTACTGCCTGACGGCAACCAAAGTGGCTGTGTCTGAGGACTGTCACAGAACTCACAGTCCTTAGCACCTTTGCTTTTCTTTTGGGACGGTGGTGGAAGAAGGCCTAGCATACTAGAGTGATATTTCCTCTGCTCTGAAGAGACCAGCAGTGCTGCTCTCGGGGCTGCCGGCTGCCATGTCACCCTGTGGCTGCTGCTGGTTGTGAAGGAGCCAGAGGGGGTGAGGAGCCGGGGGGTTCCTCTGTCACTCCTGGGCTGTGCCAGACTTTGGCACAGTTACCATTTGGTAACTAATAATTTCAGGCTCCCAGCAAGGTTAGAGCCACTGCTGAGCCCTGGAAAGTACCAGCCAAATAAAAATGCCATTCGGAAGGATCTTGAAAATACCTGAAAATAATCTGATTCCTTCCTTCTCCCAGGGCGAGGAAATGGCTGTTACAACCACATGGGGCATCATCCCAGTCCTGGCAGTGCTGTGCTCACCCTGTCCAGCAAGGTGACCCCTCTTCCCAACAAAGCTATTCATTTTTGCAGAATGACCTCTTTAAATTGCTGAGCTCCAGAGGGAGAATGAAGGACCCATGCATTTGCAGAGACAAAGGACCGTGTGGAAGCAGTGGTGGTCCCCACTTACCACAGTCCAAGGGGCCGTAAGGGACATGGAGCAAGCAGCACTAAGGTAAGGGTGAGAAGCAGCCTTCCTTTTTCTTTGCTTCCCTTGGTTTACAAATTCCCCAGATCCGTAGCCGTTTGGTGTGACAGCAGAAATAGCTTTGGTCACTAGATGGCAATAAAGAATCAACGTGCTTCTCCCTGTTCGACGGGGACAGTTTGTGAGAGCTTGGCCTAGATTTTCCCTGGGAGAAAGAACTGGAAGTTGCTGGAGAGACCATGAAAATAAGTTTGCAATCATTCTGCCTGGTAATGAGGATTTGATTTGTTATTGTCTGTTTCTTAAAAAAGAATAGATAGGTTGTATTTACCAAGCAGAAAATGATTATGATTTTAAATGATTAGAAGTATAATTCTGAGTAAGAAAAGGAAGCTCAACCTCACCAGGACAAGTACTCAGAGGATACAGTGTCATCCTCCTGAAACACTGCTGATGTTTCAAACACACTGGCATCTCAGTGTTTTACCCTGGAGCTTAAGACACATCTTTATTCTTCAGCAGCGGCAGGAAGCAATCGATTTCTGTAGGACTCTCCTTCCCTGGTAAAACCTTACCTGCATGCCTCTCCATGCACTTTTTTAAAACAATCTTTTATCATAGTGAAAACTACTGCGAATCTTTGAGGTACCAGAGTGCAGCACACCCTGTGTTTGCCTGTTTCTCAGGGGCCGTGTGCTGGTGGCATCTCCGCTGCCCCGTGTGTCCCTTGGTCTTGCTTGAAGGTTAATCACCTTCGAAGGCGGGAGTTTTGAGTGTACAAAAATTCACAAAGCCGGCTGGCATATCCTGCTCCCATGTAGCATTGTGATCTGAAAGCAAGTGTTACAGGAAGCAGAAGGAACTAAATGAAGAAATTAAACTGACCATATACCCTGCAGTGTGCTGATGGAGAGAAGCTGAATGACCTATTTTTGCATTTGCCCACTGCTGCTTCTTAGTGGTTCTGTTGCAAAGGACAACGCAGGATCTCAGTACTTATTGCTGTCTTCTATGCGATGTAGATTTTCAATAATCCAGGTGGTAAAAGTCAGCTGTTAAGAGCAAACACAAGGCCTCCATACCACTTCAGCATGTTTAAGGAAAAAATAAGCAGCATTTTTTTTCACAAACCATACCCACCTATGTAACTTGCATTATACCTCATGACTGACAGTTCATTTGTTGTTGAAGGGCTTTCTGGGTTGCTGGAATTGAGTTACAAAAATTGGGCAGAAACTTAAGCCTAACTACTTTTTTGATTATTTAGGGAAAAAAGACCAACACAAAAAAGAAGCAAACTATTAGACAGATGACCAGGACTGGTCATCTCCTATGGTGTATGAGTATTTTTCCCAGCAATTCAGAAGGTAATGTAATTAGAATGGAAGTAAACAGTGGGGGAGATTGAGTGTTACAAGTAAATGAATTGGGTGACTGCCAGTAATTTCAGAGCTGTGTGTTTCTTTGGTTTCAGAAGGCAGGTCTCCCGCAGCCGGGACGCTGTCTGTGCGAGAAGCAGGCAGACCTAGATCAGCTCGTATTAACAGCTGTCAAGAACGATCCTGTTCCCCGGAAGGCAGAAGAAGATGTTAAAAGGGTAGCAGCCTTACATATAGCTGTGCACCCATTGCGTTCTTGAAGTGGTGCTGGCAGATTCCTCCTTAGATTTAATGCAAGCCCTTTAATGCAGGCCCCTTGCAAGATGCGGGCAGGGAGCAGGCTGATAAACATGCCAGTCAGTAAGGGCAACAGCTTGGTTTTAAAAAAAGATTTCAATAACGTATTCTTGGCTTTGTAAAAATATGGCATTTCATTTCTACACCATGAAGTACAATGGTAGCGTTGTGACTGATGATTGCAAAGGCCTGTGGAGATGGTTATTGGACTGCTGGTGCCTGTGGCTGCATGTCTCTGAATCCCAGTGCAGTTCTGGGCACCTCTCTGCTGTGCTTCCACATCAACAGTGGCTAGTGACCATCTTGTGTGTGAGGAATGTGTGGAAATGAGGTTAAAAGAATGGCAGTAAAGTACTGCAATTTGCATCAATTTAGTCAAACCCGCTGGCAAGTCCATCTGGGGGTGGGCAGGAGGCGGTGGAGGCTGTGGGAGACCAGGCTGGGTGCTGTGGTCAGCATGAGCAGCTCCTTTCATCTTTCACTACTTTTGTGCCTGTACCATAAAAATGAGTGGACTATGGTAGGAAGGGATCTCCCTACAGTGACGGCAAACCTTTTAGAGGCAGCAGAGCAGAAAGAAATTAATCCATGGGCTGTGGAAATCCTGCAACTGCACAAAATCCCAATGAGCCATGTGTTGGAGCCGAGGCAGGACACAACCCGGCAGGATTTGCAGCGGCAGGTGTGTGGGGATCTTCCTTCTCTCCTCTGCTCTTCCAACAGAAAAATGTCACTTTTCTTTCTGTGAAATGGATGCTGCTGCTCCCACAGGCCTGCACAAGATATTGAAAACTGGTTTCCCATGACTGCAGGCAGCGTGAGGAAATGAGATTTTGTGCTTTGTGTTGTATTCCGAGACCACAGAGTGGGAGGATGGGGCTATAACAGCATAAAGTTCTGTGTCAAATTTTGACTGGGGCACCATCCCCTCTAGTGCCTCTAGATATCTCAGAGGAGAAGGGTGGTGACTGGACTTTTTTCTAGCAGTCCATTTACTGTGCTCAAAATAACTTTTTTCTACCAAATACACTGCAAGTTTCATATCTCTTCTTGATTCTTGGTTGGGTTTGTTCTGCCTTTACCAGCCAAACTGTATTTCC